TAGGATAAAACGATATAAGAGGTTAGGTTAATCACACTGAATTCCTTTTTTTTCAATCGTTATTAAATTAACAAACTCATAGGATCTTTATGCTTTTTCGACCAATTACCCTACATGATTATTGGGAGTGTTTGCTCAGGGAAAAGAATATTGACATTGCATAATCATTGAATGTCAATAAAACTAATTATGAGTGGTTGGCAAATATTTGAATATCAATATCAGGATTAAATTAATTAAAACATAAAGAAGTGTAGTAGGTGAACCCGTAAGTCCTAGGCTCATCTCATCTGATCTCTCTCATACATTCTATTACTCTTCTTTTAATTTATTGTTAAAATTAAGCTCTATTTTTTATCTATTACAATTTTGTTATGTTTAAACAATCAAATTAAGTTATTCTTAATACTTAAAAATAATCTTTGTGGGACGATAATTTAAAAATTCTTAATTCAAAAATTCTTTATTACTTTTTGATATATACACTTGCCTACGAATAAATTATTTATATATAATCTAATGTGTCTTTATGCAATGGGTGAAACCATTTACATAATTGACACTAATAAAAGTCTTAGACATTATATCAAATTATCATAGTAAGCTTATAATAGAGTTTAACTTTGAGACTATGATTTAATTTTAGAATTTAATGATACGGTGCATTTTGAGATATTTAATATGATTCAGAATATTAATATATATATATATATATATATATATATATATATATAGTGATATCACAGGTAATTATACTAAGATAATTTTTAAATAAACAATAAAAGATATATTATATATTATTTTTAAATTTAATGAAAATTCAAAGTTAAAAAATTTATAAAAAATTAAAATTAAAATTAAAATTAATTATTAATATATACTACCAAATATGTGAATCTACCAATAAAAGATTATAATTTAACATGCAAAACTCACTCATAGTTTTAAAAAAATTTAATAAATTAAAAATCAAATAATATAATAAAGAAAAACTTAAAAAATAGTTTAAAATATTTTTAAAATAATATGATTTAATAATGAAAATTTAAAAAAAATATATATAAATATGGATAATATTGGTTGACTGAGGAGTGAGGCATTGCGTACGGATAAGGGAATTTCCGTGGTGGATAATATAGTGAGGTTGTTCGGTAGCTATAACTCTGATTAGACAAGCTTTAACCTTTCTTTCGAAATAAATAAAACTTAATTTCTTAGTATAATATTAAAATTTATTTGATTTAAACATTCAACATATGTAGATATTTAATCTTAGATATGAGAGTTGTGTGTTAAATATTTTGCATGGATTAAAAATATAACTAAAATATTTTTAATAAATTTTGAAAATTCTCTTTTTATGAAATGATTTGTAAGAATACAATACTTTTCCTTTCAAAACAGCTGTAATAATACACAGTAAACGGAAAAGGAAAGTTTATGCGTTTTTTTAATATCTTCTTTTTAGGAACTTATTTTAAAATCTCAAGTGTATGTCTTTTCAAAAGTTCAATGTTCAAAATCTATCCTCAATTTTATCCATATCTCAACCATCACCTCCACCGTCCGTTCTTCAAGATTGTTTTTTGTATAAATATTTTTAAGAAATAATATACAAAAAATATGGTGTTTTAAAAAATTACAAAAAATTAAAATTTAAAAAATAATTTTTAGCAATTTTTGAAGTATGTATAAAAATTTAAAGATAAAAAAATATTGTAAAGTATCAATTTAAAAATTCTTTGAAAACTAAAAATTGGCAATAACGATTTTTAAAATAACAATAGAATATTTTAAAGTACCAAAAGTTGTGATTAAAAATTTTTAAAACTTTTCCATATTTCTGAAATTTTACTAAAAAAATTCATACTTTTGTATTTAAAAAAAACCCTAAAAAAAAGATTATCTGTTAACTGCCTCTTAGCATATCCAATGCCGATCTTCTATCTACTCATATATCCCCATCATCATGACATTCACTGTCTGAATAATTTTAATTTTAACATAAATTTGATATTATCAAACTTAATTAAAATCTTTATGCAAACTAATTTTATCAACAAAACTAAACAAATACACTTAAGCCTCATTGTTTTATAATATATTTGGATTAGCCTCAAATTCTATTAATTATAAATTTATTTTAATGCGTTATATCTTTTAGGTTTATTTTTATATATTTTTGAAACATATATTTAGTGTTGAAATATTTTAAAACAAAATTTTAACTAATGCAACTAATTTTTACTTATAAAAAAATTATTGTAATAATTATTTTAAAAATGTAACATTATTATAAATACTCACTAAAAAATAATTAATCACACTCTTGCTTAACTCCTCTCGTTCAATCAACTGAGCTTTCTCATACATAATATACCTTTTTCTAATAACAATCTTCAGTTTTTGTACTTTTTAGTGTGGATTTTGCATTGCAAGTTCTTTCAGAAAATGACTCTACAAAAAGATTCAATGGCAGTTATTCATTAGATGCTTGTTCTCTTCCGAAATGTAATTCGTGGCATGTGCCAAATCTGAATAAATCTAATTATTGGGTATATTTTTGGTTTTTAAAACTGTGTTCCCTTTGATTTTATGTTTCCTTCATTTTTGGGAGAGATGATCTCTTGAAACTTCAAGCATGTGACACTACAATGTTCCTTTATGCTGTACCCCAACATTTTCTTATGAATATTTTATAGTAATTTACACATGATCATAATAATTTACACTCTCTCTTATCATATCAAATTTACATTCTCTCATCTCATGTTAAAGAAAGATACAATTTTAATTAAGGACCAATGATAATTAGTTGTAAGATTTATTAATTAAATTTGATTAAAAATATATATTTCTTTCTCCAATATAATTATATCATTTTATTTAATGATAGAAAGGGATCCAAATCCTGTCGAATGTCTATTTTTCTTTTTAATTTTTACAAAGCTTGGCATAATGCTTGTTTACACTTATTTTGCCTAGCAAATTTTTAGAGAAATTCTTATGAGATAAGCTTTACACTTAACTTTTGAGAGAAATTCTTTAAAATTTAAAAATAAATAAATAAAATTTTTCTCATAAATTAGAAATTATTTATGTTTCTTTATTTTTTAAAAAGTTCTATCATTTAACTTTTCTAAAATTTGAGAAAATAAATTATTTTTAACTTATAAGAAAAGTTTTATTCTATGTTATACTTATTTACTTTTGTAAAACTTCTCTACAGAAATTCAAATCTTAAAATCATCACATTAAAAAAATTACCTAACTATTACCCCTAATCTAAGGGTTAATCTTAAATTTTCAGCATGTGACGCCAGCTTAAGACAAAAAGAAACATAATTAAGTTGGTACTCTAGAAAATAAAAAAGGATATTGCTCTGTTGATGATTACAAATTCTAAATGATAACTCCAAATGCTTGATATCTCCTCGAGCACGAGTTGTTAAGTCCACCCCAGTTAAGTAGAAAGCATCATTATCATTTATTGAGGTTTTCATTTAAGTGGAAAGCACAATTATCATTTATTATGCTTCTTAGTTAAGTTTTGGGTTGATTAGTGATTAGGCTCTTAGTCATAGCACATGCCTGTGATTCAATAAGCATCTTGTGTATTATATATATAACATGAATTAAAGACTATAACCATATTATCGTTAGAGCATATATACACGATGAAAATGATGAATTTGTAACCAGAAGTAGAAACAATAAAAGTAGAACAAAGAAATTTAAGTATATATAATAAGAGTGATGTCATCGAAGTGTCAAACATTATGGTTGGTATTCCATATGATTTAAGTTTCATAAAGTTGTTTTTTTTAACGTACGACAAAAAGCATGCAATAAAAATTTAATAAATAGTAAATTATAGTATTTAATATTATTAATTAAAAAATAATCTTCTTATACCAGTGTAAATTTAAAAGTCTTTCGTTTAACTTATATTAATAAATTATAATTTATTAGATATAAATTAAATAAAAAATTTAAATTAAGTATAAGAATTTTTAGACTTACAGTAGTGTAAAAAGATTCTACTCTTTATTATTAATATATTAAATTATATAATTTTTAATAAAAATTTATTATACATAAAATTTTATTATATTTATTTAAATCAGAGAGAGAAAGAAACAGAAGAAAAAAGTGTCAAGAAATGTTCGTTTAGACCTTGGAATTTTGTTTTATAGGTTGGCTGGCAGCAGAGTTTCAAGTGAGTTCCAAAGTCAAAGGGCATAGAAGGAAAAAAGAAAAGGGAAATCGTTTTCTTTTATGAGCATAATACTGGATAAAATGTTTGTTTAACAACAGTTTTTAACATAAGAAAAAAAAATCAACATAATTAAAGATGAGTGTTAAAAAATCTTAAAAGAAATGTGAGATAATCAATATTCTATTACTGATCACACTGTAGTACCTTACAGTCACAGGACAGTGGTGTAAGCAGAGAGATTCTTATTATTTGGAAGACATATTAACTTTAACATATTTTTCAAGATTTCACTTAATTAGAATCTTTTACAGCAATGCATAGGGATTTGAGATCAACGTTTTTTTTTTTTTTATTATTATTATTATTAAAAAACATGATGTATATGAAAAAGTAAAGATAGTGTTTACTAATGTGTATTGGATTCAGGTTCTTTTTTAGGAAATAGCTATTAATTCTCGTAATTTTTGTTTTAACTAATATACCTTATTTTGTGAATAAACATTTAAATAATCAGTGACCAAAGGCTTCCTTAAAGTTTTGAGGTGAGATACTGCTTCAGTAGCAACAATGCAGAGGAAGGGGACAACATAATATCTGTTGTAAATCAACAATTTTCAGTACTGATTAGATTATCAGTTGTAACTTAAAAGGAACAAAGATAATGTTAACAACAGACCTGCAAATTGGATCAATCCATACAATATAGTAGTAAATAAAGGACATCCTTAATCATTTAGAAGAAACGAAACAAAAATTTGTAGCTGTTTTTGGAACCTAAACCTCAACAGCAAGGCACTTCAATCTTATGTGGCCTGAAATTTTCAGCTTGTTTGACATCCTTGATCAAATGCTGTCTGAACATGGCTATGAAAGCTTCTACTCTCTCATTCAATTCCTCCTTGGAAAGAAGTGGAACCTGCTCCTCCTCTTCCTCGTCCTCTTCTATCTCATTCTCAACATGAACATCAACATCAACATGAGTACTACTACTACTAGTCCAACATTGTTTTTTGTAGCATTTTTTTCCTTCTTCAATTTCTTTGGAACACCCTCTTGAGCTTCTCTTCTCTTTGTTCTCACTCTTTACTTCTTCAACATTGCCTTCACTTCTATCCCAATAGCATGGCCTCATAGACATGAATAGAATGGCTAATAGAATGACATTGAGGATAAGGAACACCCAAGCACGCCATTGCTCAACTAGAAAGTGCTTTAGACACACCATAAGAAGAAATGTACCTGCTGTGAACACAATAGTGTGTATGCTATCCTCCTTGTGTTGCTCTTCCTCCTTGGTTTCTCTCTCACATTCCCTCTTCTTCATCTCCATATTGGACTTTTTTGTTGTTGTTTAGAGATGAGTTAGTTAGATAAACCTTGAGTAGTATAAATGAGTAGAAGAAAGTGGTTCTAGTGCAAGAAAGAATGATAGTATTGTAGGTAATGTGGGGGACTGCATAACCACAATGAAGGGTAAAGTGGTATTTGTGATGATGTGAGGATATCAAAGCAAGATGTGGATGGTGTAAGGTGCTGAGGAGACAAGCAAACATAATAGTACAAGGAATGCTACTTTGCCACAACAACTAAGGTCCAATTTTGTGATGATTTCCTGATCCAACAAAGGAATTTAGCTTTGTAAGTTAGTGTGTGTCTGGGATTGGCGTGCACACCAAATCAACTATATGGGCACTACCCTTAAAGGGGTGATAGGCTCGTGACATTGGCACAGTGGTGAATACTCAAATTCCTCATTGAAAGTTGAGATATATTCCACTTGAAGTTTCTCTTTGTTGTGTGGCAATTTTTGAAACAAAATTAGCGGAGTCAAATGGGCACAATGATGTGGAAGTAACACTAGAAAAGCACCTAGAGAAGTGGGGAACTGGAATCTACCTACACTCAAAAATGAATGACATGTTGCAAGGCTTTTGTGAGAACAGGAGATAAAAGAGAGCACTAGAGTGAGTTACTGGTTGAAAGACAAAAAAAGGGAGACTGAAACGTGATGGACCAAAAGCACGCTTGATATGCACATGTAATCACATAATGTCCCCACATGTCCAATGATGTAACCTCTTAACCTTGTATGTTTCTCCTTTTTTGCTGCTCCTGCCAAAAGTGGCCAACCATAGTACACACTAGATTCTTTATAGATTAGCATGTTCTGTTTTTTCATTTTTTGGTCATTGCATATTCTTACGTGAGGTAGGAATCCACCCTTGCCTATAGTATTTGGGCTCTTTCCTATGGGCCACTGGTTGTGTGGGCTTTAGATTCAAGCTACTTTGAGTTTCACTCATGGATCCTAATATGGCCATGTACTATTTTGGTACAAGTTGTAGGAACAAACCTTGCTATCAACAAAATTTCTTTTAAAAGATTCATCCATAATCGACCTCTGTATATAAATTGTAAATACTAATACTTGAATGAGACCATGTTTAGAAGTATTTTTAAACGAGACTGTTTCAATTAATATTTTCAAATAGGAGAATTTTAGGGATTAGTTTTTTTTTCACCATACCAAGGGATTTTTGTTTCTACATTATGTATTGATTTAAAATTTGAAATTGTATGTAATTTATTTTAATCAGTACAATATATTACTTATTATTAATAATTATGATATTTATTCTTTTTTAAAAATCTTAAATTTAAAAACAGTCATAATATATTTTTAATTATTTATTTTTAAAAATAATAAATTATTGATGTCCATGCACTGCTCGAGAAAATTATTACTTTAATGTTAATCAACTGCGTTGTGAAACTGTTTCAGATTTATCTGACATACATGATATATTTGTAAAATAGTTCAATTCAACATTTCGAATGATGAGGTCAATAACAATTGGTTTTTCTTTTTTAGAATATCCTCCCACTCAACAACTCAGAGGATATTTTATTCATATACATAAATCTTAAAAACAAACCTAAAACAGGATTAGATTTGAACTCATTTTACTCTTGCCAATGTATGATGATAAATAACGTTGGATGATAGCATATAAGCATAAAAGATTTTCATATTGACAACTAATTGAAGTTAAACTCAAACCTATATGATTGAAAACCAATCAATTGTAAATTAACTACTTACTAATACACCTTTTTTCATATTGCTGAATCCCACAAGAGTCAGGTACGTATTGTGAAACTTGCTTTTTATTTGGTCAGATAATATAGATCTTGGTAGATTCAGTCAATTTCCTTATCCATTTTTTTATCCAACTATCAAAATAATTACAACATAAATTTTTTTATTTTAAAATTATTAATTCTTTTAAATTTTTAATGGTCAAGATTGTGTCCATTGTTTAAGGTAAATGGAGAGAATCCATATATATATATATATATATAGATGATGAGATGAAGAAAGAATGAGAGAAAAAATAAATTATGAAAAATATTGTAAAAATTTGTAATAAGGGTACTAATGTTGATCTTGTTGGCACCTACTATTGGGGAACACTGAAAATATTATTCCATATCTGTAATACAACTTGATCTAAACATCAAGCAGTAGCAAACTTCATTTAATGTATTACATCATAGTTTATGTTTATCACTTATCAGATCACAAAATCAATAACCATACCATTGTATAGACTGAGCCTTCCAATTCTAAAAAATTTCAAGTTAAAACAAATCCCAAGTTTAATCACCAGCATAATGTCGTTCTTGAGAAGCAGACTTGAAATGGGACAATTACAATCACCATAAGTTTTAATATGCTAGCAAAAAGACTTTTCTTCATATAAACTTTATAATTTATGAAGAAATAAAAAAATTAATATCCTAAATACATAACCATGAACTATCAAGCATTGCCACAATGCCATGCATGACTCAAGTGTCAATATGCAAGCTTGAACTAAGTAGATGTGACGCCTTTGCAACAGGGGCTTGAGCCTGCGGAAGCGGTGCTTTATTTGGATAGAAACACAGGAATAATTATAAAAAAAAATTGCGAAAGCTAGGATGACTAGCTGTTGACAGAAATAGCAAGCGATTATCAATGACACTTCTTCATTAGAAATTCGATGCAGTTAGATGGTATGTACTTGTACTTGTTGATGTCCTCAGAGACTAAGAACCACCTTCAAAATGTTATTTGCTTCAAAGCCTCGCTATAGTTGAATCCTCAAGCCTTGAGCATCCATGTTGATATCAACACCGTCTGCCGGAAAAAGATATACACTACATAAAGAAAATGACTAAATCAGACTAAAGCTCATACTGATTTTCTATCTAAAGTGAAGTAACAATTGTAAGCAATCAGTATACTTTTATATTATAGCAAGCAAATTTCTGTTATAGAATCTTAATTCGGAGGGTGGGGGGGAGGTATTGTATGCATCTTAGAGATAATAGAAGAATTGGACAGATCTGATGAGCAAACCTAAGCCACGTACAGATTATCTCCGAAGGGTTCATCAATTATGCTAGGTTTCTGGGTACCGATGCACCATTTTGTTTTTCCTCCACCCTCCTCTTCGCTGTGCTCTTCTCGGAATCAATGTTTTGGTCTGTGTTTCCCAAAGATTCTTTTTTTCGCTTCCTTTGGAAGGTATACTTCAGAATCCTACTGTCACCAACTTGACCAGGAGATCCATCATTTTCTTCAAATGCTTTTATATCTTCCAAATCAGTATTTGTCGATGGAACATCAATAACCTCAACTTTCATATTAGAACCTGAACCGGTTAGATTCTGTACAGCACTTTCTAAATTTAATAACTCATTATCCTTCTCAATAGCCTTCTCCACAAGCTCAAATTTAATTACAGCTTGGACACTTTCTGTAACCCCAGTGGACCCACGCACAGCTTCAACGTCAGTCAAAGGTGGCACTGGATTCTTCTTTGCACCATATTCATCTTCACAACTTTTTCCAGTATCCCGAACTGACGAGCACTGCTTAAGAATAAATGATAGTTTACAACTCCTCAAAACAGAAGATTTCATTCCTAAATGTCTCTGTCTTCTGTTCCTTCTTTTCCATTTGCTAATGGCACTAGGCTTAATAGAAGGTAGTAGAGAGCATGCACCTTTGTTGGATTTGCAGTTCTCCTTTACATGCATTTTACAAGAATGAAAAAAAGACCTGTAATGGGAAAATACCTTCTGTTTTGGTATTTTATGGCGCTTAACACACTTCTTAATTTCCGTTTTCTCAGTCAGTGCACTAAATTTTGCAACTTGGCCATCGCTATCTTTGGCGATGAGCCCAAGTGTTTTACCACTATGTTGATTGTGCACATCTTGTTTGAGCAGTTTTTCATCCAGCAAGTTTCCTTCAAGTGCACGGATTCTCTGAGTAAATCCATTTCTGCAAAGTTCAGCCTCCTTGGTTCTCATGATGATGGAAGTAAAGTCAGAGTCATGACCATAATAATCCTCCAAATTAGAGATTCCCAACTGCTCAGTTTGGTCTTTTGAATTACAGCACTTATCATCTAAAACATTCACAGCCAACAATTTGTTCTTCACATCAAAGCTTTCCATACATTCAAGTTCTTTATTAGAAGACAATCCTGAAGTCTCAGGTTTTGCACTCTCCTGAAAAGAAGCAACGTGCTTTACAGTCTGTCCATTTAAAGGATGGACTTTGCTATTCCTTGTCTTATCTAACTCAAGACGTACATGCTTCAACTCTGCCCTAAGATCTGTTATGACATCCTCAGCTTCATTCAATTGTGCTTCAAGCTCTTCGATTTTATCTTGCTGCTTGGATGACGCCATTTTTGCTTCAGCTTCCTGTGAATGAAGAAAACAATTGTTTATGTAACTTTGTAATCTAAAATACCAAAACATATCTGAGTAGGAAATGCAAGTACATTAGAGTGGTTTTTCAAACCAAATATCCAAGGATTCTTCCACTAATGAGAACCTTAAGTACTGCAACACAGATAAGTCAACCCATGCAATAAAGGATAGTATCTACATAGCGCAAGCATGTAAGCATACTTAAGAATATATTAATTCCACAAATAACTTGGAATTCAACTTACAGAAAGGTTTGAATATGTAAGCAAAATTAATGCCAATCCTAACACGAACTTAATAGTTCTTGCTTCTCCCATGAATTAGAATTGATTCTACTTATAATAACATTTCAAAAGCAATTCTAATTTACTATTCACACAAAAGCTAACTTTCAGAACATCATTGTCAAATACAAATCAAACCTATAAAATTGAATTCAACTAAAATCCAATCTAAACGGATTGTTAAAACAAAACAACACAACTTCCAATCATTAAAGACATCAACATCAACTAAATAAAAAAAAGACACCAAAGAACCATAACAGCCAAAAATTGAGTTTGAAAATGAAACCTTAGCATCAATCATTTGTTTCATGCGTAGTAACATGTGAAGAGCTTCATCTTTGGTCGAAGCGAGCTCGTGTCGAAACTCAACAGCTCTCTTTTCCGACGCCATTACCCGAACCGCAGCTTCCTTTGTAGCATTCAGAATCACGTCCGCGAATGCCTTCTTCAAAGCCACCATTTCCTGCACAACCAAACACACCCTTATCATCAAAACTCATTCACAAAAAAAAAAAAAAAACAAAACAAAAATCACAACTATGATAACATTTTATGAAAAAAATCAAATTTTGAGGAAATTTGTGTTTGAATCATGGCGAGGGATGCATCGACGGTGACGGAGATGGAAAATATTGACGGCGACATTAGGTAGTTAGGTTAGTTTTTTTTATTTTTGGAGATGGAAAATAGAGATTTTGAAGAGAAGAGAAAGAACCTGAGGTTGAGATTGTTGCATTGGGATGCAGAAATGGGAATGGGGGTTGTGAAGAGGTTCCATTTGTGAGATGAGAGAGGTTTTTCTCTCTCCTCTTCCCTCCATTGCTGCAACACTCTCTGTTTCAGACTTTCAGTTTACCACCAACAAAGTGATGTTGTGTAATATTACCAATCTGCCCCTGCATTTGAATTCAACGTGCGTTTGACCGTTTTTCTTTTTACCACCAAAATTCCAGTGAGAGTAACCGTGTTATTTTTTACAAAAAATAAAGTAATTCTTTTTAAACAATTAGAATTAGAATATAGGTAATTTCTAATAGTAGTTTATTTTTAAAAAATTATAAATGTCTTATATTTTGTAAGATATTTAAAGAATTATCATCATCAATTTTAAAAAATATAAAATATTCTCTTAAATTTACAAATAATAATACGTAGTAAGCACTTAGAATATATATATATGGATAATAAAATAATATTTAACTCAGTTATATAGTTCCTGAGACTTAAAATTTTATTTACGATTGGAAAATTTGTGTTAATTTAAAATAAAAAATTATTATATTTAAAGAGTATTTTTAAAAAATTGTTTTTATTTTATACAAGAATAAATGAAAGATTTCAACCTACAATGTACTTGATTAATACTTTGATTACATAATGATAGTTTTAAAATAAATTATAAAAATAATTTATAATTCTTATAAATTTTATAATTAATTTATGATATAATATTTTATAAAATAAAATTTTATTAAATAAATATATAATTAAATTGCTATTTTACAAAGACAGCATAAGTATTTTAGCTTTAAAAAGTTGTGGAGAAAGCAAATTTTTGCTGAATGTTAATGTTATAAAAATCAAAGAGAAATTGGTAGAATATGCGAATCAACTATGGTTTTAGTTTGAACATTATTAAACTTAATCATTGTTTATTTATGGATAAAAATTTCAGCCTTTCATTATAATTAAAATTTGATCTACAGTCTAAATTATGAAACTCACTGTTTTACTTAAGTGTTTTTACACACACCTCATGCAATTAAGCAATTAAAAAGTAAAAAAAAAAAATTAAAAAAGTATTTGTTATTCTATTAGAAATATAAAGGTATAATAAATGTTTTTTTTAATTTATTTTCTTACATCTTATTTTCCTTTTCTTCCTAACATAGCATAAAGCAGAGAGGGCTCGGCGTCGTTTTCTGGTGGTGGAAACCCTCGCAGTTTTCCTGTTTTACCCTCTGCAAAAGGCAGTTGTTTCCCCCTTTTCGTTTCATGTTTTTTTTTCTTCTTAAATTTCAAAATTTAAATTTGGAGAAAACTCAATCTGGAATCTTGATGATGTTGTAGTTTTGGCGGTAGCTGAAGGACAGAGAAATTCAGGACCCTATCATATGATTATTTAATTTTAATGCACATTATTGTGTTTAACGTAAGATGCTAACAGCAAATACCATTACGTCACGATCAAATTTTTAAAATTAAAATGACAATGAATAACATTAAATTTATAAGTTTTAACGTATCGTAAATTACTTATTACATTTTTATTTTAATCTAGACTTAAGAATTATGTGCAACAAAATAAATTCTATACAACATTAAAAAGAGTTTTTTTTTTTTCTTTAACTATAGTATAAATTTATACTATATTTAGAAATACAAATAGAAAACTCTTTTTAAAAGAAAAATCAAACATACTCATAATTTTTCTCTCATATCATGGCAACAACTACATGAGAGTATCCTGATACAAGTTTAGATTTCAAGACAAACTATTTTATTCAAGCTGCAACCTGTCAACCAAAATGGGTCCTTTAATAACATGGTTGAATTCATAAGGTAAAGAATTGGTAAATGGAAATGGGAAGGCACTTTTTATTTATATAAGAATCAATTATCTCAAAAGCTTAAATGGTATGGTAAATAATCGTAAATGGTTTGTATCTGACAATAACATTATTGAATTAAAGTCAGCACCTCAGATACAGGGAATGAAACATGAATTTGATAAACTATGATTAACAATTCATGAAATAGTTTTCAAAATCCAACGAAATACTGAGCCATGGTTTTCCGCAGGACATTATTTCACAATAAAATAAAAGGATGATTGGTTGGTTACATGCTAAACTACTCAAAAGTAGCCCAAAAAACAAACAGTTTGAAGGTTGCGGTATATATAACAGCTTATATGAGGGGGATGGGTAAGATGACTTTGATCCATTTCATTATCAAAATTTACATTCCGCAAAAAGGCACTCATATGCGAGGTAAACGAGTTGGAGGATCAGCTGGAACATCAGCACTTGCCTGTCATGTAACCAAACAAGTCAATTCAGTAATCTTCTAAAATGCAGCAACATGAACTGAGACTGAGAGCATCATTCTCTATGGCTTTAATATTATCATCAACTCAAGGAAAAAATATCCTCACAAAAAGAAACGTTAATCTTGAACAATGTTGATCATCTTATCTTATTTTGGCTTTGTTGGATAAATATTCATTGGATCCTCACCTATTGGAAAAAGGCTTAGTTCTTGTTATAGATAAGTATTTGTTGGATATAGAATCAGTTATCAGAAACCAAGGATCAGTTTCAATATCTGCATATATTACCTTTAAAAAAAATATCCTTAATTATTCTAGGAACAGAATTTGGATTTGCTATACCTGAAGGTATCTTGTTAACAAAGATGTAGTACTGAAATTAAAGCCTTGAACCGGTTCTCCTTTTGTACGTGATGCATGAAGTTGCTTTCTCACTTGAGTTGCTAATGACTGCATTAACATCAAGCAAAGAGAATGAAATTCAGAAAGCAAAGGTGAAATCTGAAGTTAAATTTACAAATGCATATACAAAATGCAAATCCTATCAGAAAGACAGAGAGAGACAATTACGACTGCATATTTCTCAGCAAGGGGAAAAAAATAAGGGCATAAAGGGTCAGTTATCAAATAAATACCTTCCCCAGCTCCACTCCCCACTGGTCAAAAGAATTAATGCCCCATATGAAACCTTCTACAGCAATCCTATGTTCATAGATTGCCAACAACTGAGAAAGCAGATAGGAGCTGATATTAGTTTAAAAAAACAATTTTCACAGCCGAATTAAAGAAAACCATTAGTATAAACTGCTCAAGCATAGAAAATTCTCATTTGATTGGAACATCAGTATATTCTACCAAGAGGCGATATCTAAGGATGGGAGAAGAATATTTTCAGGTTGGACATTCTCAACAGAAAGAAGATAGTGAAAAATTCAACTCCTGCAAACAGGAATGAATTATTTCATTTCTAATTATTAATCATAATAACCAGAAGAACCTCAAACCTGTCCAATATTATAAGCATTCAATGATGGAAGCAGAATGCTGAGAGAAGGCCGATTGCCTGAGAATGTCTGCAGCATAAAGAATGCACAGTAAGGGGGCCTACTCAATCTATAATTCAAGAAGTAGCATAGAAACAGAAGGGAGACTACCTTGTGTGGCACAAGATGTGCAGGAACATTCTCCTTCTGCAATTGTTCGGGGGTCTGCAAAATAAAATATGATTGATTATATTATATTTATATACCCCACAAGAAGTAAAAAATATGCATGTAAACTACAATCCATAACTGCAAACATGTCAACATAGGACATCTGCTGTTTTCATTCACCCATCAAATGGGTGAGTTTGGGTCCAGCAAAAAACAGGCATGTAAAATACAATCCACTAGTGCAAAGACCAGGCTAATTTACTGTTATTTATTAAAAATAATCATGAATTTAAGAACAAGCATACCTTCCCATAGGCAAGGGCATCAGGTTGTGCAAAAAAGTTCGACATTAGCTCATCATGGTTGCTCACCACTTCACCTGCATAGATAGAACATGAATTATAAATTGCATGTCTCAAAACACAAAGAACAGAAGTGTAAACTTCAAACCAACCATTGTCCATGAGAAAATGTGATCATAGAAATGGGGACTTCACCTTTCAAGTAAACAGGTTGCTGACTTTTCACAACTCCAATAAAATCGCAAGGAATAACACGTCCCTACAAATTAGGAGATGGAAACAGATGTGTTATTTCACAACAAAGCCCATTCATACCAAAGATGTAGAAAACATCTACATTGAATTAATGAGCAGATTGGAGGGCACATATCACAGAATGATTGTTATTAGACACATGGTACTCAATCAAACTAAAAAAAAAGGTTCATTGTTAATCCACTTTTTGGGGAAATAATTATATCTGATTTACCCCTGCCCCCCTCCCTCCCAAATGTTAAAAAAAGATGTAGAAATTTCTTTAATTTTATCAACAACAACCAAGCTTTATCTCACTAGATGAGGTCATCTACATGAATCATACGATACCATTGAGCTCAGTCAAAAACTAGATTTTCAGAAATTTTGTTAATCAGAAGGTCTTTTTTAATAACTTTGTCTAAGTTATTAAAATCTTGTTATCCAGTTAATACCAGGATGTCCATATTTATATCCAAGCATGCCTAACTATGTGATAACAATTAACAACCTAATGAAAAAAACAATCCTGAATGCAGTTAATAGATGTGCCATTTCCAAAATTTGGTTTGAGAGTTTAGGCCTAGTAGGAGAAAACAATCTTATAATAGAAAAACCAGTAATGCAGATGCAACACGAATGATCTATAACCAGTAAGCTCCATTTCACTTGAAGGTCAGTGGAGAAGAAGGGTAAAATATACTGTCATGAAATTTCCGTATGGATTTCTGTCCTCATTGACCATAACATTCAGATTTTAATCGTACATTAGCATTCAAATAGCAGATAGCAGCATAATACTATGTACAACATAAATATCTCAAACTGTATATCACCTGGTGTATAAGTTGATAAAAACTGTGCTGCCCATTTGTTCCTGGTTCACCAAAATCAATTTCACCAGCCTCGAATGGTAGTGGGACACCATCAATTGAAACACCCTTCCCATTACTTTCCATGCTGACCTAATTTGAAAAATACACTAAAGTATAAGAACAGAGAGATATAACACTAAAAAGTGCATGAGGCTTCAATCACAAGGCAGTAGCAAACATACCTGTTGAATGTGCGGGGCAAACTTCTCCAGGGCTTGAGAATAAGGTAAGATAGCCTGGATGTTAACCAGAAGTTTCAGTTATTGAAAATGATTGGTTAATAATAAAGAACCAAAAGTTATTCTGAAGATCAGAACATTAGGTACTCACTCGAGCAGGATATCCAAGAAATGAGACATTCCATACACTCAACAATCCTAGAAGCACCTGGACCATTGACACAATGTTATTGAACATGTCATCTTGCACTAGATAAAGAAACATCTCCATAAAATGAAGGATTGATGTGATCACTCATTAATTGTCCTAATCTATAAAATCAGTTTATTGCTTCAAAGAGCAGGGATGACAATTGGACCCAAGACCAATGGAAAGTGGAAAACCACAAAAATTACCCTTATTGAGCAGGGTTTTTACCCATCAAATGGGTGAGTTTGGGTCCAGGTAAATACTTGCAAAATTTAGCAAATATGAATACCATAGTACCTTACCCATCCCATATTCACACCTCTGTATACATAATAAATATATTTACAAAATTACATATTTATTATATTTTATAACAAGCATTTGAAAAATCTCTGGATATTTTTAGTTGAGTTAGATATTATGCTTTTTAATTAATGGCTTTTGTGTTGTAAAATTTTTATAATTAATTTTTAATATAAATATTATTTTTTTCATTAATTTATAAAGAAAAAGAAGCCATTAAAATATTTCATTTACCAAAAATGCAGGCATTAGGTCCAAATATGAGCATATAGATACCTCTTAACTTAAGTATGGGTGGAAAAACTATAGCATGTATGAGTCTCTAGGTATGGATCTTTTTAATAAATGTAGGTGTAGGGATTGAATACTCTAGTACTCTACCCATTATCATCCTTATCAAAGAGAGTAGTTTTCAAACCATGAAACCCAATACCACATTTTGGATGCAAAGAATTGTTCAGAGACAAAGATGGAATAACTGAAAACATAAGAAAGAGAAACTATAGGAGATAGTAGTGTTAATAAACAGGAAGAGTATTATTAAGATAGAGACCTCACAAAATATTTATTTCTCCTATATGTTACTGATACAATAAAAACCATTTTTGGACCTCCACTTAATAGCTTAAGCTTTTAGGTACGAGGAAGAATTGATTCTTGACAATACATTCCAAGTCCAACCATTAAATTAAAACAAAATAAATGGCTGGAAATCTGTGTAACATATGATATGTAGGAGATCCACAAGAACAAAGAAAGTAAGGAATGACACAAAGCTTAGTATAATGTCTCTTACAGGTATATTTCTTTCAAATGTTTCAGAATACATATGCTGATCAATGCTCGAAGCTCCCTTCAAAAACCTTGATAAAAGAAATACAACATCATAAACAAACTAAACATATGCACAAGAAAAGATGCTCCGGCTATCAAAAAAAGATAAATGAATAGATAGATGGTTCTTTATTGTCTGAATCAAAGCAACTAAATATTTGCTTTTGGCTAATCAAGTGAAGAAAATATATGAGCATGGGTCATTATATTTGAATTACTAACAATCTGTTATTAAAATATGGTGTTTCTTCATGACCAGGTAGCATTATAGGACTACTGAAAATATTATCCAAACATTATCTGACTTCAACAGATTCAGGGACATATGTAGCCTTTTCTTTTTATAAACAAGAAATTTGGAAGAGCACGTGCATAAGAATAACCACCCATTTCTTCATCAATTATGTCACATGAAGTTGCACTCCTTTATTTTTTCCTGGTTTTTAGTTCAAAAATTAAAGTGATGAAGAATAATCTAATCCAATGCTTACTAGAGTGCATTTGACGTTATATGCCAACAATAGACTTAAATAGAATGAATTAAGCTACAGCTAAGAACATTATCAATCAAAGAACTGCCTGCCTACTAGAGAATTTATATCAGATAATAAATCACATACTTCTCAATTACTGAAAAACCATATTGCAGGGATAAAGGCAACACTCCAACAGCACTGCAGACTGTAAGCAACAAGTCAGATAAAAGTCAAAATCAAATATCTTCAATAATTCAAATCTTAGGTATATTGAAAAAATTAGAAAACTTACCACTATATCGGCCACCAACCCAGTCCCAAAATGCAAAAGCATTATTAGGATCAATGCCAAACTTTTCCACAAGCTGCATTACAAATTAAGACAAAAAAAAAATGGTAACTATAGGCTGAGCCATAATAACTGATATATGTACATCCACAGAAACCACACAAGAAACTTTTAACAAAGCTTTGACGAGATAATGCAAAAGAGAAAAGAACATGCGGCCATACTGCGAGATTAGTACTGACTGCCACCATATGTTTCGCAACTGCAGAGGGCCTGAAGGTAAAATGGGATCATAACCAGTCTTCAGAACACAGTCAATTCCATTTAGTGGACTATTTTATACAAACTACGTATATATTTTGAAGAAGCCAATTGGGGTATGAGAGAATAATGCATATAATATTAGAAGTCTAGAAGGCAAAAGCCCCATATTATACAGGGTAAGTCTGCATAAAATGGGAAGAACCAGAACAATCATATTATACTACTTTTCTTTGAAAGAATAGCTTTAATACTTCACTTACCCTAGAGTAGATGAGATCCATTCCCTGAGTGTTCTGGCATTCAGCATGGTTTCAGCAGTAGTAAAAGTCTTTGAAACCACCACAACTACAGAAATAGGAAAGAATTCCAACAGTATGACACACAACAAGGAACCCCATCTCTTGAATCAAATATCAAGGGAAAAAGAAAAGTGAACATATTTACCTAGAGTTGTTTCAGGATTTAATCCTGTGATATTTCTAGCAACATCAATTGGATCAACATTTGCAAGACTGCACATAGAAGCAAATGAGGGAAGAGATTGGTTTCATGAAACAGCATAGGTTACTCAATATATGAAGTTAGCAGTCTTGTCACCACTGAGTATGGGAGAGTAAAAGGGGTGAATCTCAAAAGCTTGCATTGACAAATTCATAAACCAAGAATCTAACAAGTAGTTTTACTTTGATGGTAACATGCCACACTTCAGAAAGCAAAGCAATATTATACTTACAACCGTAGCTGACGTCCACTTGCAGATTCAATTGCTTCAGAATCTGCAAGATGTGATAAATCTATATTCAACACTTCTACTTTTTTGAAGAAAACATCCATGGTTCTTATGTACATTAACACTTGTAATAAAAAAATTACAAATATATGGAAACGAAAAGATGATAATGTGAATGCTGCCAAGAAACCAGAAAGCATCAGCAACCTGTTTGAAGAGCTGTGTGCACAAAGAGCGGACCTAAGAAACTGCCACCAATACCAATGGCAACAACATCCTTCAGTTCCTTTCCTGTAGCTCCAACCTATATAAAATTAGAATATAATCAATACTCTCTCAACTCAAGTTCAACAATGTCCATATGCAAAAATTGACTAGCATATTACCCAAGATCCACTGCGGACTCGATCAGAGAACTCCCGAATCTTGTCCAGAACTTTCCAAACATCAGGGACAACATTCTTTCCATCACTCTGTATAACAGCATCCCTTGGCGCACGAAGGGCTACATGAAGTACGGCTCTATTCTCAGTGCTGTTTATCTGCAAGTCCAAGAAAATTTACATAGAAAATTTGATAATTCAGAAATTGCAGCTACTGAATCCACAACATCTACCACATGTACGCTGCAGCACTACTAGGTTCCCCAGATCATTAAAGGCAGGAATTTCAGAGACCTTTTAATAAAGCTATAGTTAAGAGTTAACACACCTACTCCAGAAAGGGGAAAAAAATTTAATGCAAGTGAGTTTGACATGAACATATATGGAACTTGTTGGATTAGTCTGTAAGAACTTACATGCTCCCCACTGTACATCCGGTTTATCTTTTGTTTGAGGGATGCAACCTACATTGCACCAAGAGATACAATAAGCGCATGATAGCATTTCAGTTTGATAAGGAACTTTTGTTTTAAAGAAGGACGTGCTTGAGGACCAAAAGATAAAACAAATTGTCCAAATACCTAGAAGGAGTGAACTGACCTCTGCCAATTTGAAGAGTTTTTCTCTTGTTTCAAGAGTGGCTTGCTGCCTTGAGTAGTCCAACAGAATTCCATCAAATTCACTTCAAAGAATACAAAATTCAGAAGGTTATACATAATGGCACAAGCGCATTAGTATTGGCTCAACTTTTGAGTGTAAAATATTTTCAAATCCTCAAAATGGTAATCTCGTAATGTTATTGTTAAAATAAAAAACAGATTATAAGATCACATAGCTTCATAAAGAAAGGGCCATACACAACCATTGACTTGGATCTCTCATCATCACTCATTAAATCACGTAAATGAGTCTTTTTGATGTCCTCAACATGAGCCTGCACAAAGGAGATGAAATCAATAGAGTTTCATTAATTATGCATTATACATATCTAAGGAGTAACTGCTCCTGTCACCTTTAACTCCTTCCATGGCTGAGTGTCACAGATGAGGGTGGGGGAAGCCATTCTGAATAATGACTGATAGATTTCCTGCGCCAAGAAGTTTCCCCAATGGTTACTATGTTATTTAGCCAATTTTCTTTGAACAATTTCTTATCACAGTCCTACATGTTTTCTGGATCCAATAAAGCATGCAGACAAATTTACAGATGAAGCAAACCAACAATCAAAATCATGTGGATACCTCCACTTCAAAGAACTTTATAGCATGCAATAGCCACATGTCTTTAACAGATCATATGCATATTATCATATGCCATATCATAAATGTCCGTGGTCAATAAAAAATTGACTAATGGAATAATAATAATAATAAGTATGAAAACTCAATATTAGCTTCCATGTGTTGAAAGAAAGAGAATCCCGATGACAGACTGCCTTTATCAAAAGATAAAAAGCCAAAGATATAGTTTTATATGAAATGAAACCAACTTTATTTAAGATTCTCATTACAAAAATGATAATCCAGTGTTGGCTTCCATCTGTGGAACAAAAATAAATTCCTCAGAGGCTAGGATTGAAAGCAACTGTACTCAAACACTAAGCTCATTTAACATGAACCAAGCTTGTTTAGGACAACAATCAAGATGACAAAGTAGGTATTAGTTTTAGTTACTAATTCAGTGAATCAACTGCTATTGAAAATGAAACATTAAAGAACAAACACAGCAACCAATTTGGAATAAGCTCCATTTAAGCATTTCATCAAGCACTAGTCAGGAAAGCATCGCTTGGCTTTGTGGATGCATGTGATGACACCTATTAAGATGGATCTTATATACATACCTTAGAATTCTTACATATAATGCACAAATGCAAAGAAGTACCGCACGAGCAGATATATAAGGATCCAAATCCGACGAATCTGTTAGAGGATCTAAGTTATTATAATGGTAACTATGTACATAGATTTTCAAAAGGGATTTCCCAAACGAGGTTTTACAACCAAAATCAACCCAGCCGAATCAAAACATGCATTGATAAGAATCACACACAAACACATGCACATGCAGTGAAAACAGGGAAATAGGTTCGATTCCAAACCTGAAAAAGGAAGCGACTTTGGGAAGAAGGGAAAATGGGGTGTGTCTCTTAGATTATGATTTGGAAGGTGAAGAACAAAGATGGTGCTGATCACAAAAGCTAAACAATGGGTTGAGGCTTTTTCGTTTATAATTCACTATATTTTTAAAAATTATATATTTAAAAAATAATAATTTCTTAACTAATGCTTAACACCAAGTTTTAGTATAGATTAGATTTTCAATAAATATTCATAAGTAATAAAATAAAGAAATAAAATAAATACTTTATAAATTTCTATTAAATCTTATTTAAAAAAAAATTTCAAAATGTAAAATATATATAAGTTGATTTTAGTGTATTAAAAAATTGTGTTTTTTCCAATTAAATATTGCAATAAAAAATCACTTAAACTGACCTGATTAGCATATTTTATAAATCAATGTTTTTAATTGATATAATATTGTACTTCATAAAATGTTATAATGTTTAATAAAAACTATACTAAATTTTTTATGTGTACAATTTTACATAGATTAAAAGAATTATTTATAAATTAATAATAATTTAATGAGAAAGAAAAACGACGTGGAATTCAAGTTCTGTGGACGGAATTACGTGATTGCTAGCTCACGGGAATGGACCTTAGACTCGTGATAATGGCACATAGATTAGCTTTTTAAAACAAAAATTATGAAATCTTTGGGTTTGATGTGTGATAGTCGAAGATGAACTAGAGATCACTCCTTATAACTATAACTCCATGTTATTATTTATTAGAAAAAACAAAACAAAATTATTGATTGAATGACAGAGAGTTGAAAAAAATTTCAATCTTAATTTGTAGTAATCTTAGTTATGAAATATTTAAAAGCAAGGTTTTATTATTCATATTAATTCCACTCAACTTGAATAAAATTATGTCAAACATGAATCTATAATAAAGAAAATTACTTATATCCAAAACATGTGTAATAAATATTTAAGTATCGGGATATAATTATAAATGAAGTGGTTAAGGTGCAAAAGATGCCAACTAAGCCTAAGTGGACTATGATTAGTTTATTATAGCTTATTGATTGGGTAATATATATTGATGTATGAAATTTTTGGTATTTAAGTGAAAATCCTATATTATTATATGAATCTAGTTATTAACTTTTATAATTTTATTATAATAGACATATATACATGATTTAATAATAACTATTTATTTATTTAAATAACATGTTATATATTAAAACATAATAAAATAGTAAAATATTCAATCCTTAAAAAAACTATTTATAACAAAGTTAAACATTAAAATAACTTCTCTATAAATAATAATATATGTTTTGTACTATTACAAATATTTTTTTTATCTTGTAGAATCAATAATTTAAGACCATTTTTGACTTGACTAAAAACAAATTAACATACACTTACTCCTATATAATTTAGTATTGATTATTTATGTATTTTAAAATAATATATTGTATGTTTAAAATATAATAAAATAAAAATTTAACAATCATATTAATAAAATATTGTTAAAAATAACATTTTATTAAGTATGTAATGGTGTACTATTTTGATATTATCTTTTGGTGTATATAATAATTTAAGAAAATTACTTTGATTTATTCCAAGTAATTAGGTTAGATAGTCCCAAACTCAACTAAAAGCATGTTTGTTTGTGAGTTGGACAATCATGTCACAAGTCTCAAGAAAAATATACCACTAATTTGTCATAACACCAAATCACGTAACAATTAATGAACAGAAAAAATAAAATTATTTCTTCAAGGTGGGTTTGAACGAGGAACATTGAAATAGTAAAAAAGAAAAATAAGAATAGAAATGAAGTGAACATAAAATTAAACAATTTATTATTTAAATATGTAAAATAAAAAAATAAATCTTCACCTATTTAAATGAGTAATCAAAAGAATGAAACTGAAAAAAATAATTTTCAATAATAAAAATTAAATTAATTTATAAAATATATGGCATAATTTTTTCATTATATGGGGAAAAACATTATATGCATAGTAAACACTACGTATCTTGTTAAACTTAGCTTTGTGCCTAATCGATCTAATTATTTTTCTTTTTGTCTTATCAAATTACTCATGCAATTTCATATCAACATACTATTTAGGTAAAAGCTTTTTAAATATAGCGGTTTTAATATTCAAATATCTAATATTATGGGTAAAAAAATAATTTCTATTACGATTAATCACATTTAGATTCTTTAGTCACATATTTGATTAGATTCTATGTGTGATTCTATTATTCGATGCCTTAGTAAGTGTTAAAAATGGATTTAAAACTCATGGATATATTATTTTTGTCAATCTATAAGTTCATTAATACATTATTATATTCAAAAAGTTTTTTGGTCAAATTTTACTTTTAGGGAGTCGTTTTTTGTGTCAAATACTCTTTGGAAGTCTATTCAAATGTAAAATAATGAGTAAATTTGTTAAATATCCATGTATTAATGTGGGATGGTCTGCAAAAAAATAATAATAAGAAAGTGTAACTTTGAGTATTTTGTAAAAAATTAACAATTTCTTAATTTAATTATATTTATAATTTATTTTTTACTACATGCACAAATTATTGTAATTAATCTTTTAAATTCTTATTTTTTTTTTAAAATAACATAATTTATAGGTGAGCTAAGCTCAATTAATCAATCATGTTATCTTAGTCTATTAGTTACTAAAAATAAAATATAATATTAACAATATACTCTTTAACATTGTTGATTAAAATTTTCTGAAAATTATCAAATTATATGAGTTTTATTTTTTTTAATATTTTTATAAATTTTAATTAATAATCAAAAGTATCCTTAAGAAATGCATTATCTACACTTAAAAAAGTAGGCGCAACCTGTCTGACAATTGACAATAAGGGGGGAAAAATCTGACCAAAAATAAAAGAATGCAATAAACTATATATATATATATATATATATATATATATATAATTGCATGATGTATAAGTTTACACATAATCTTGTCATGTGAAATTTTAATATAAGAGAATTTATTTTCTATATTTTGGTATTGTATTTTAATATTTTTATTATTAAATCAAATTCAATACTATTCTGAATAAGCTCAAATAATAATTAATAGAGTAATATAATTATTATTACAATAAACTTTTGCAAGAAATTCTACGTAATCATATTTTTTTTTATTATGTTGCTCAATTTTTTCTTTTTCTGCTATTTTTTTTTTTGCTTATAAGAACATAATTTTTTAATGTCTCTGAAAAATAGCTTTTAGTTAATGTTTTAGATATATTTTTAGGATATACATCTGTAAAAAAACAAAAAAAAATTATGTATGATATAATATATAATATTGAATTTTATCTGTCAAAATAATAAAACTAATATATAAATTGCAAAAATAAATAAATTGTATGAACATAATTTCTCTAGTGTTTTTTTTATAAGTAATTTCTCTAGTGTTAAGCAGATTCTAGAGAACAATTTCATCGAATTGCTTTTTCCCTTCCTCTCATGGACTCCTAACATGATATTTTACGTAGACTTTGATTTTGAAATTCCATTAGAAAAAGTAAATTAACTTTGAAAATAGAAACTTTTCTAAGAAACAAGTTGAATGTCTTGTAATGAATTGATAAATGAAAGTGCCTAAGATATAAACTCTAAAAATTATTTAATAACCAATTTATTTTCATTGGACCGTTGACTTTTCCAACCTTACCTCACATTCTTTTCTACAGTGTTTTTCACGTCCCAACCCACCAGAGAGCTATATCAGCTTTTGGCCAATAAAAGACTATGAAGTCACCATGATAGAAATAGACTTCATAACTATATATTTTACTTCAATCCACCCTTCTAATTATCTTTTGGGTTAAATAACAACTAAGAAATATCTCACACAGTTCAACACAACCTGAAAAGTAACATAATACCATGCATGATCAAACAGCACCAATGTTATCCCAAAATGATTAGAGAGTAAATTGCTGTTCATACAATGAAAGTGAAAATGAAATTGATCATTGTAATTATGGAAGCCACATCTGTATTTTTTTTACCTTATCTTATCTTATAAATTGTCTAGTAATAACAAGACAAGAATTTACCTTTAAATCCTGATGAAAGATGTTTGTCTAATGCCATAAAGCATCAGTGAGTAAAAATCAAATCACTTTGTAGTCACGTAGACCACATGTTTCACAAAAATACAAATCTCTCATTGGGGTATTCTGTTCAATAATTTCCTTTTATTTAATTATATATATATATATATATATATATATAGAGAGAGAGAGAGAGAGAGAGAGAGAGAGAGAGAGATGATATACTACACAAATCACAGTCACTTTGATGTTTTCCTTACTTAAGAATTACTCCAAACATGGACCATATGATCCAAAATATATAAACCATAGTTTTTTTGTAATAAAACACTGGCCAATTATTGTTAAATCAAATAAACTATCACCATCACGTACTACACATCATAAAATTTTGATCTATAAGAATATCTTAAAAGGAGAAATCCGAACTGGGGTCATCTTTTCAAAATTGATTAAAATTATATGTAGTGTATTAATTATTTATATTCATTCAATATATATATCCTTATTATCATATATAAACATAAGTTTAATTTCCAGATTGTAGTTTCTTGAGTTGCTATTTCTCTGTAAGGTAAGTACTGACATAGCTCATGTAAACTAAATCATTTATTCAAAAGTGTGAGTTATCACCTTACAAAATCAAAGGGAAATATTTGAATGTGAGTTGTTACCTTAATTTAGCATGCAACTAATCAAAATGTAAGTGAAGTCCTAATTAAAATGAATCTAGTTCCAGCAAATGATTGGGACATAATAGAAGATCAATCAACAATGACAAGAAGGCCCACACCTTTTTGGTTATCCAACCTACACATTAGAAGACAACTTTAAAGGGACTGATTTTCATGCAGGGCACAAGCTACCTTTCATATGGGGCCAAAAGTCTAGTATTTTCCATTAACTTCTATTAAATAACTATAAGCTTTGGTTAAAATTTTCAGTAAAATATATTAGTGTATATATATATATATATATGATGGTTGAAGAGCTTCTAAAATGTAATTATTCGAGTTTATTTTTAAAAGAACTTGTATGTGAATGGTGGCTCAAGTACTTTAAGTAATGATTGGTCTCATAACAATGAATGTGGCCATATATAGGAACCCCTTAGTGCTAAAAATCAAATATATATATCAAGCCATAAGTAGTGGTTCAATTAATCTTACATTCAATTTAAAAGACATGAATCTCTCATAATTTGGTCATATCTACTCAATTATGTATCAAAGAATTTCAATTTTTGGTGGTAATTTTAGGGATGCTACGAGAAACTTTGCTGGGAATTTTTGCATGGAGATTCCTCTAGTGTGATTTTGACATAGTTTTGAGGAATCCTATCTACCATATAAATATCAAGAGGTAATTAAGGGTACACCCAATGATGTAGCGAGTGAAAGTGAAAATTAATAACGTTAATATTGAAAATATATATGATAAATTTTATTAAAACTGAAAATTGGGTAAAAAAAATTGAAGTGATATACTGATATTTGGGGTTGGAAAGGAGGAAAAGAAGGTTTCACCAACTGCCCCTAACGCGTCTTCTCTAAGGTGTGTCCGGCTATCCGCCACCACATAATAGAGAAATATTTGTACATTAAAATTATCCAATGTTTTGTATGATAAAAAAAAAGTTTTTTTTTAATTTTAATTATTTTTTATTCAAAACACAATTGTATTTTTTATTAGAAGTAATTTTATTTAAATCATGTAAAATTATTATTAATAAGAAAGTTATATTTTTAAATATTTAACATAATTATATTTATTGAGATGTGTGATAAAAGTCGATCTGCATACTCATAGGTAATTTCAATTTTAAAATTATGTATAAGTATTTAATAAATTTTATTGAAAATAAAAATATTTATTGTTTTTTTATTTCTAAACATCAATATTTTATTAAAAACTTTAGAGTACAAGGGTACTATAATCCATTATAATTTTAAAGAAAAAAATATTTATTGTTAAAAATAAATATATAATAAATATTTTTTAATAAAAATATTATTTTTAAATACTTAAACTTAATTTTAGAGGTTAAAATTAATAAAATTATAAAAAATAGGGATAAAATAAGTTTGAGTCTGACCCATAAATTTAAAGAATTCACAAACTAAACTAACTTTTACAAGCCAATTCAATTTAGACGATTTACAACATATGCTTGATTTAATTTATTTTAAAAAATTAATCACTTATTTTTAAGAATTTTTGTGAAATAGTTTTAAGAAATAAAAAAAATATATAAAAATTAATCCTTTTTTTTATTAGGCTAAAAAAATTGTCCGCTCATTTGCATTGGATTAAGGTCAATAATTTTAACCTGTCTAGTCTGAAACCCTATTAAAAAAAATCATATTTTATATTTGGTAAGAGAAGTTAGAAACCAACTCAAACTTGATTGATGATAAGAGAAGTCAGAAAGATATGTTTTTTTTATTAATAAATATGAAATAAGATTGCCTTTTAACATTATTAAATTGAAGGAGGAAGGAAACATTTTAATAAAAATGTTTACATAAAAAAAAAAAAAATCATCAAAACCGTACGTTGATATGAGAATATAATAATTTGCACTTCAAAATATATATATATATATATATATATATATATATATATTTTAAAACCCTTTTACTAAAAATGTCATATGGAAAATCTTCTGATTTTTATTTTTTAAAAATATGCTAATTTACTATTCATTTAATTTTATTATACATAAAGTGAGAACTGTAATTGGCAGATAAGAATTTCTCATAATCTTGCTGGATGGCTTGTTGCTCTTGCTTATTTAGTTGATGTTGGATTATAGTTGCTTGAAACACTTCTTTATAAGTTTTGTAGACTAAAATGGTTGATGATTTTGATTGGACATGACAATGAATATACTCTTTGAGCAAAATGTTAGAGTATTTCTTTTAGTATTTATATTAATTAAAAAGTATATCTAACTTAACTAAAAAATTCTTTTAAAAAATCAAATTCCAATTATAAAATATAATAAATAGACTAATTAACTAAATTCAAATCCAACGGAATAAAGTAGTAGTCAATCATAAAATATAATACTATTTCAACACTACTAAGTAAATGATAAATGGAGTGTTTAGGAAAAGATTATAAAAAGTATAATATTTAATGGTATCAATATATACATATTTACTGTAGTTTTTAATAATTATTATATTTATTGATTATTTAATCAATATTCTTAAGATAATAATTAAAAACTGTATATCAATCTTATAATATCTACGCTTGTATTAATCAATCTTCATATTTATTTATTTATTTATTTATTCAATAGTTAGATTTTTTTTTTACTTTTTAATAATAAAAGTCAAGAAGGGTGGCAACAAATGGATAGTGGGTAATTCCTTTTTAGTATTGTATGCTTTAATTAACAAATAGATGCCACAACATAATTAAGATGTTTAAGTTGCTTTCATTAAGACTAATACATGTTAACTAGTAGGAGACTAATTACATTAAATATTTAATATTATAGATAGTGGACATGGTTTGAAATAATTACATGTGTGGTTACCAAAAAAGATGGCATCTTCAACTTGCACAATACAAGACATTTACCAAACAACATTTGGTCAAATCAAAAAGTGCAAAATGCTGTTTTGTTATTACTATTATTAGTTGAAGAAAGAAAAACCAAGGAACTGTCAGTGGTTAAGGAGTGATTATTTCTTTTGATTATTTGAGTTTAAACTATAAGCTACTATTTAGGAAAGTTCAAGTTTCTAAATACACAAACACAATGCCCTATTGATTCGTTTCTCCTTAAATGTATCTACTTAAGGATATTTAATAGAACTGTAATTTTTTTTTCCTAAACTGGAACTCAAAATTTAGACTACAGGTTGACTCGGAATAAATTTTTACTAGTTGATTCATATGCTCAATAATTAAGTTCATGTGTTTAAAAAATATAAAAATTGATTTAAAAAATATAAAAATTGATTATTTCAACAAATAATTATAAATATAATTGATTGATTATATGAAATAAGTTTCATGTTTAAACATACTATATAAAATTATTATAATGTAATTTATTTCATTTGAATCGTCTATTTTCTATTACAAATAATAATTAATTTTTGTATTAATGTTAAATCATTATTGAAAATAAAAGAAAAAATTAACAAAAATAAACTATAAAATTTAATTATAAATTCTAAAATTTAATTTATCATTAAAATAATTTTTTATTGAAATTATATTACTTAGTTATAATTTAATTTATTAATTATTGAGCACATAGATTAACTAGTGTGAAATTAATATAATTTAATTTGTAATTTAAACTCAAGTCTTAGTGAATATAATTATATTAAATACTTTGAAAAATTATACATATTATAATTTAGAGAAAAGAAAAATCTAATTTATCAAACACATTCAAATAATAAGACTGATATTATTTTCGAGCGATTAGATAATAATCTTAAAAGCAAATCTATACAAACAAAATCTAATTCAACCATACTGGAAACTATTTATATTTTTTATAAACATTAATGATTAAATAACATCTTTCTGAATCTAAAATTGCAGTTTATTAATATTCCGACCAGCTATTATTAAATTTTAAATTTTCTATTCATAAAAAGTAGGATAATGTAGACTTGTCACAATCCAGCTCTCCATCTTAAACACCAGTACTAACGATCAACAGAAAAAAAGTAATAAGGGTACCAAGCCCAATATTTATTTATTTTAAAAATATTAAAAATAATAAAAATGGTGTGTATGTACCCACCCATTCTTCAAGTAACCAAACTATCACCATTCACAGAAGACTAAGGACCCAACTAAAGGGCAACCCAGTCAAAGAACCCTCACCCAATCAACATCTTCAGTCAAACAAGCCCTTATCAATCACCAAATCAAAACTAAGGGCTATACACAAATTCAAAAATCACAACATCATCAATAACAAGAAATTTCTCTTTTATTAAAAAAGTTATGTTTTTTTATTAAAAATTACAGAATAAATTTCTTATCATATTTTTTCAATAATCTTTTAAATTTATCAATTAATGTTCTAAAAACATATTAGTTAGTGATATTTTTTTTTAAATAAAAAAACTAAACCCCTAAAAAGAAAACAGAAAACCCCCAAAATTCCACATTTAACCGCTCTCACTCTGCCATTCCTTGCAGCCATTTAACTCATCACACATTCTCTGCACTTTTTATCTTTGCATTTCCTCACAGCCCCATCTTCGCCAAAAAGTCAATGGCACCGTCACAACGCTGTTAGCATCGAACCCCACCTTAAAAATCGAACCTTTATCACACCCACAACGTTGTTTCAGCTCGATGGATCTGAGGAATACGTTTTCATCGTCTTTGCTAATTTTGAGCTTGTTGGGTATTTGTGTGTCCTTCGCTTCTTCGCAGGTCGAAGACGACGTGAAATGTCTGAAGGGCATAAAGGACACCTTGGAGGACCCTCAGGGTCGGCTTGCCACGTGGCGGTTCGACAACACCACCGTGGGTTTCATCTGCGACTTTGTGGGGGTGTCTTGCTGGAACCAAAGGGAGAACCGGGTTTTGGGTTTGGAGCTCCGAGAGTTGAAGCTTTCGGGTCGGATCCCAGAGTCCTTGAAGTACTGTGGTAAGAGTATTCAAAGGTTGGATCTTGGGTCTAATTCTCTAACTTCTGTGATTCCACCTGAGATCTGTAGTTGGATGCCTTTTTTGGTTTTGATGGATTTGTCTGGTAATGATCTTTCGGGGCCTATTCCACCTACCCTTGTAAATTGTTCTTATTTGAATGATTTGGTGTTGTCAGATAATCAACTTTCTGGTTCAATTCCCTATGAGTTTGGGAGTTTGGGTAGGTTGAAGAAGTTTTCTGTGGCTAATAATAAGCTTAGTGGGACTATTCCTTCATTTTTCAATGGGTTTGATAGAGAGGATTTTGAAGGGAATAGTGGGTTGTGTGGTGGTCCTCTTGGATCCAAGTGTGGAGGGTTGAGTAAGAAGAATCTTGCTATTATTATTGCTGCTGGTGTGTTTGGTGCTGCTGCTTCTTTGTTGTTGGCTTTTGGGTTGTGGTGGTGGTACCATTTGAGGTTGAGTGGGAAGAGGAAGAAGGGAGGGTATGGGGTTGGGGGTGTTGATGATTGGGCTGTGAGGTTGAGGGGTCATAAGCTTGTGCAGGTTACACTCTTTCAGAAGCCTATTGTCAAGGTTAAATTGGGTGATTTGATGGCTGCTACTAACAATTTCAGTGCTGAGAATGTTCTTTTCACCACGAGGACCGGGACTACTTATAAAGCTGATCTTCCTGATGGGTCCACGCTTGCGGTGAAGCGCTTGAACACTTGTAAGATTGGGGAGAAGCAGTTTCAGATGGAGATGAATCGGTTGGGCCAGGTTAGGCACCCGAATTTGGCGCCCCTTTTGGGGTTCTGTGTTGTGGAGGATGAGAAGCTTTTGGTTTATAAGCACATGTCTAATGGGACGCTGTATTCGTTGTTGCATAAGAATAGCACTGCATTGGACTGGCTGATGAGGTTCAGGATAGGGTTGGGCGCGGCTAGGGGTCTTGCCTGGCTGCACCATGGCTGCCACCCTCCCATTATTCAGCAGAACATTTGTTCCAATGTGATTCTTGTTGATGAGGAATTTGATGCTCGGTTGATGGACTTTGGACTCGCGAGGCTCATGACCTCTGACTCTAATGGTAGGTTTGTGAATGGTGATTTGGGGGAACTCGGCTACATAGCTCCAGAGTATTCAAGTACACTGGTTGCTTCATTAAAAGGGGATGTGTATGGGTTTGGAGTTTTGCTTTTGGAGCTGGTGACCGGGCGCAAACCTCTCGAGGTGAGCAATGGGGAGGAGGAATTTAAGGGTAACTTAGTGGATTGGGTAAATATGCATTCTAGTTCGGGCCGAATGAAGGATTGCATTGATAAAGCCATATGTGGAAGGGGACATGATGAGGAGATTCTACAGTTTCTGAAAATTGCATCTAATTGTGTGGTTTCTCGCCCCAAGGATAGGTGGTCTATGTACCAAGTTTATCATTCCTTAAAGAGTATATCCAGAGATCACAGTTTCTCTGAACATGATGATGAATTTCCCTTGATCTTTGGTAAGCCAGAAAATGAGCTGGCGTAGTTCTTGATGGAGCATGGCGGCGCGGGAAGGACACAAAAACGTTCCCTCTGAATTCCTATTTCATTGTGGAGAGTCCTCAGAATGGTCCTAATGTTTATGTTTTGAGCATTTCCATGGGTGACCCTAATCAGGTATAGTTGTGTTGTATGATATAATAAACTCTGGTAGGTTAGGTTCTTGAAATCTATTTGTTTCACTGCTTGTTGTACGAAATTGCAACCTCTAATGATGTCCAAGATGTTTGGGATATGCTTCGAATTTGAATCCTCAAATATATATGTTCTCGAGACCAGAAGGATGGATGTCTGCTTGTGCTATGTAAAGATATCTCATCAACATATTTTATTGATCTAGATCTAATTGATTGGAAAGTTTGAAGGGTACAATTTCTGTATAAATTATTAAAAGAAAACATTTGAAAGAGTTTCTGAGAACCTTATTTGAGTTTATGAAAATGATTTACAACTCTCATTTAACCTATTCTAGTGAGTTTTATGGTAAAATTTATGATACTAAATCTCATGTAATAAGAATTTTTTGAATAGATACTAAATTAAGCCAGGTATTCGAATGAATTTCAAGATTGGCATGATATGGGGCTAGAGCTTCATTTGATCTATTTCACAAGTTATCTTATGCTCAAAAGTCAAAACAACTTGCAACTCCAACGTTACTACTCCATGATACAGGAACCAAAATCATATTCATCATTATTTGTAAATTTGACTTGTTTTTCCTCTAAAGATAAAATGAACTAACAATGCAGTAAGAAAAATTATATGGATGTTCGATAATCCACATCTTAGTACTTGGAAGTATCAGCTGAAACTAGCTATAGGCATGTAAGTTCAGACTCAAACGCCAACTTGGTTTTCACTTAAGCCATAACATTGATGAATTACATTGTTACTATCACCATGGAAATATTATCTGCAATATTAGCATCCCAATGTAAAAAACAAGATGCAAAGATTCTTGCAACCGTTGAGAAAAGGTTAATTATTTTTCATCACAGAAATTTAGCTATGGACATGTCTAATTTAAATTGTATGGGAAAACAAGTTTCAGTAAAAATGCAAGAAGTAGAAAATACAACTTATGTAGCGGATTTAACTTAAGAGTGACTTTTAGTAAACACCTTAAATAAACGTGTTCAATAAAATTTTCTTATAATACTTTCAATTATAAATGTGACCATAATTTTTTTGAAATAAGACGAAAATATTATGTAAGTCTTTTTTATAAATTCAAAATAAATTTTGAAAATTACTTTTCCAACTTAATAATTAATACATAACAAAAGTAATGATTTGGTTATCTTAACTTTATTTTTTTTTATTGCAAATCCATTCTGTAATTTTTTTGTTTAATTTAATCTTCTAACTTTTATTTTTGTCTCGAGTTTATCCTTTCATTGTAACATTAGTAAATCTTGTCGAAAATTGCATTTTTTGAATTAGCTCTTGTTGAATCATTTAATTCTGTGTATAGGTAATGAAATGTGATAATTTTTTAGGATAAAGGTCATCGGTTAATAATGAGTAAAAATTGTAAAAACAATTTGATCAATCATTATCAAAATATAAATATTCTATGATTGAAACAAAACAGGTTTTGGAAAATGAGCCAATTCAATCTCTCATTTTAGCCAACAAAATCGTGGAAGGTAAAAAAATGGGTGTTCAAAGTTGGAGTTTCATGATAATGATGACTAATTTTCATGTTTCAATCTCTCATTTTAATTGATAAAATGATCTAATTTTTTTTATATGTTGGTTGTAATACAATGCTTAAAAGAGCATCTAAATTTCAACAGTCGTTGAAAAAAAGTAGTTTTTGCAAGATTATAATGATATTTAACATGTTATTATGAAAGGATTAACTTGAGATAAACAAAAAAAAAAAAAAACTAAATAAAATACATTAAAAAAAATAAAAGAACAAATTTAAAACTAAAAGTAAAACACTTTCTTTTAGCTTTTCTTCTAGTCATAGACCCTAGTAAAACACTGTTTCGTGTTACCCGTGGTGTTTTTCATAGAGTCAGAGGTATGGTTCGTGTGGAAGGAATTTCCTTTGTTAAAATTCTCCTATAAAATATTGAAACATTAAACGGTCAATGTTCATACCTTAGAAAATTAAAGGCAAACGGCAACTTATATGGACCATTGCTATCAAGATGATATGAATCAACGACTTTGAACCTTATGATGTTGTTGCGTATTAATCTAAGATATTATATGATTTAAGTGCAATCATGCTTAGCCCACAATTTATCTATTTATTCAACTTATTTTAGAAGAACAAAGTCTATCGTTTAATTTTTCTAAAACTTAAGAAGATAAAATATTTTTAATTCATCCGAGAAATTTCATTTATTTGTATATTATTTTGTTTTTCTTAAAAACTTATCTACAAGTTCATCTAAAATGGGCTTAATTATTTTTATCTTCTAAATAAAACTTAAAAAGAGTGATTATTTTTCTAAATTTAAACGTTTGTAAACATGAAATATGTTGCACTAAATATAAGTAGACAAGCCTTAAGATGTGGGACCTTCAAGTAGATGCATCTACTTTTGATAATTGTAAACATGAACATGTAGGACACTTTGTGATCCAATTGAGCAGAGTGATCTGGTTTTGGTTCTGCCAATATATTCAAAAAAGAGAAACAAAAACTGCCAGGGGTGAGAATCTGTCTCCCATGCAGTGGAGGATAAAAATATATATATGAAAACAGATTCGTAATTTGAATCTCAGTTACTTTGGACCAAGTCACATCCTTCTCGAATCTATAGCAATCAGACCAGAAAGAAAAAGCAAAGATAAAGAAAAAGCAGAAGCCAGGGATTGCTCCTTTGCTGATTTGGCTTTAGTGGGATACCTGAATTTGCAACATCTCCTTGATCAATCTATAATCAATTTTCTTAGGATTTGAAAAAGAAAAATGTTTGGGAATCACCATTAAGTGGATACAAATTTATATTTACTTTAATACTATTTGTAATTTATGCTTTAAAGTTATATTTACAGGTTTTTTTAATATATTTTTCAATATACAGTTAGATGATAATAATAATAATAAACAGATGTGACATGACACAAATAAAAAATAAAAAGAAGTGTTAAATAGATGATGATGGTGTTAGAGTGTTTATAAATATGCTTTGTTGCAAAAGAACCAAAAAAAGCTTATTAAGGCACAAGAAAAATATGGAAGTGGGAACCTTCCTGCATTTGAGGCTACTCCTAGAGTCTATTTGAAGCCTATAATTGGGCAAGCAGTTATGATGATTGTATAGTGTTTTAAATTTATACATTCATTTTGGCTTCTTAACTGATAACTATAGGTCTACATGGCAAGGCAAAGAGAGCCCATGTTGTTTTTATGCTGTTATCAAGGCAAAATGGAAAGGAAAAAGAATTGTTAATTGTATTAGACTTTAAATTAAGCAAAGTGCTTTGTTGAACACAAGGCACTTAAAAGAGGGTGCCACCATAAAAGGAATTCCCGAAGATTACTAAAAAATTAAAGCCTAATTATATGATGCACGGAAACTAGGCCTTTTTCTTATCTTGTGTGCCGCTCCAAATAATCCAATTTGGAATAGTTTGTCTTGTTTTTTTCCCCATAATATATTCCCTATCCATAAATCTCTCCCTCTCATTAGATTTGAGTAGGGAAAAAGTAAATAGTGTACTGTGTAGCCTTCAAAAGTGTAGCCTTTCTCAAGGTTCTCTCACGTGTAATTTTTAAGATAAGGATGATAATAAAAACATCCATTATCTCACTCATTCATGCATTCCTAAAGCCATAAATTGAAATGTTTTTTACTTCAAGAATTTGAGGACATAAATTGCATCCAAAATTTGGTTACTTCATTTCCTAAGGCCTTGATTTACAACATCATCAAAGGTACATTTCATAAAAGAAAAAGGGAAAACAAAAAAGAACCAGAGAGAGAACATTAAGGATCACACTTGTAACCTTCAAAACACTTGCAATACTATGTAATAGCACTATCTTATAGAACACACCCTGAATTCTTCCACAAGAGAATAGCAAAAATTCAAGATTTCTTCTATGAATTTTCTTCAAACTAGTTGTTGAACTTTACAATGCTCAGGCTTGTGTAGGTGGCTGTCTAGTTTTCACTGCTCTCCTGAATTCATTCATGCACATAACACAAAGATTCACAATATGAGAGAGAGAAAGAGGTGAACCAAACTAAGTGAATAGAAATTAAATGACATGAAATTCCATGGTAGGACCAGATGTGCAATAGTAGTGGTAATCATCATAATGGGTCCTCAAATATCGAGTACTTAACATCAATAGGCAGCAAAATTCCACTTTGAACTGACATGAATTGGGTTGTTAAATTTTCAAATGAGGCTAAAAGTAGTTCATGATCCTCCAATAAATTAATCAAGCTTTCCATAGAAAGGAAAAGGAGCCACCGAATTCTTTTTTCTCCCCAATAACTAAAGTGGTACAGTTCTTCACCCAATGTCTTTTTCGGTTTCTCATGAAAATAAGAGAAAGATGGTTAGTTAAAGAAGCTTTTGATAAAGAGTGAAAATTTATCATGTATGATATGAGTCCATTATGCTTCCGCTCCTCTTTAGCTAAGTAGCATAAGAATTTCTACAAGCCTAGGCCTAATGAATACAATGAAATGGATTTCAACATTGTCTATTAATCTTGATTTAACCTTTTTTCTACACGTCAAAACCAAATTGCTAGCACATTACTAAACCAAAATTAAAATGAAACTGAGAATTATGGCATCTCATGGTGAATTTGTATTTTGTTTTTTTCTAATGTTCATGAAAAAGATGAATAAAACTACATGATCTTGCAGCTTTTATAAAACTCTTAATTCCCTTATTTATTTTGTGCATGAAGATCATATGAACAAAAATACCATAGTGTTAAATAGACGTGTACCTGTTGTGTATTGGATCAGGTCCATTGGGCACTCTTCTCTTGCTCACAATGATGAGTCCAGAATTTGAATGCAGGCCATGCTTCTGCATGTTAACCAACTTCAAGTGCTTGGAAATAACATTTATTGGAACTACTACTGTCTTTTTGTGTTGACGGTTCACTGAAATTGCAAGGAACATAAACCAAATAACTCCCAAAGATACCAAAACTCCAAGAATTAACCTTCTACAACTAACACCCATATCTTCAACTCTCTTATGAGAATGACTTTCCACCAAGTGGCAATTGTTTGCAATTGAAGGCAAAAGTATGAGAATGTTTCAACAACATTTTGGCATTGATCACACCAAAGATAATGTATCAGAAGCAGAGAGAAAGAGAGTGAAGAAAATTAAGAAAGAGAGAACAAGGAAGAACAAAGTAATGAAACTTGGCGGGCTTTAGAATGACTGGCTCTATTTAAAGGCAAACACCATAAACTGTTCTCTATGGAGTGTGTGTGTGGAAAAAAGTTTTTAGTACTCCTCCAATATATTCACTCATTCTAATGAAATTATGATACCTGAAATATATGATTATTTGTTTATTTATGAATTCTGTTGACTAAAAATTGTTAGAGCACGGGTTAAGATTTTTTTTTTTCATAAAAAATTATGCTAAGAATGTATTAGAAATCACAATGAAAATACATTAATAATGAAAAAAATTGTTAAATTAATAGTAACAACTGTCCAAAGAGTAGATACTGCAAGAGTATAACAAATATTATTAGTGTGTATGGATAAGTGTGTGTGTTATAGGGGGAGGGGAAGGGGGGAGAGAGAGAGAGAGAGTGGAAAGGGAAAGGGAGAAAAGGGTGAAGAGAGCATGGACAAACATAAAAGGCCAATGAATCAGAAAAGTTAGTTATTTGAGCCTCTTTAGGTGTAAAAAAAGTGTCCACTTGAACTCTCTTTTACTTGGTTTGTGCATTTTCATGCAACTAGGAAAGGGGATCTCACTGTGATCTCACATACTCGGTTTGTACTTCATAGGAATGAAATTGAAAACCTTGCCAAATTATGTTAAGTGCTTATGAAATGAAACTTTAGCAGAGATTCAGGTAATGCAATATCCCCACTGGTTTCACTCAAAACTCATGAACAAAAATCACATTAACAGCCTAAATTTAATTCTAGTGCCCTTAATAAATTTCAATGAAAGTTTTAATATATTGAAAGTAGAGACAGCGAGGATCCATTTTTCTGAAAGACATCATAATAAATAAAAAATCTTTATCTAACTCTGAGTGATCAAGTTGCTAAAAAAATAATTATCTCGTTAAAGTAAAATTCAAAGCAACAATTAATATAGTATACACTAGTTAATATTATTATAGTTTGTGGCATCTAATTATTATGAAGTGTAGGGTGCCCATTTCAAACCAGTGTATCTTACTTATTTATTTATTGTTTAGTTTAATATTTAAAAAATATATAAGTTGATTTAAATTTTAAAAAAAAAACACGCGAACTAATCTTTAAAATATTTTCAAAACATTGATTTAATTCTAAAAATAGTATGAACACATCATACTATTTTTAGAATTGGAGATCCAGGATAAAAATAAGTTACCCTTCTTTTAATAAGTGATTTGTGTATAGTTCAAACAATTGAATCTTTGTGCTTTATTGTGTTGTTTAATTTTCTAAATGTATAAGTTAACTGAAATTCTTTTCAAAATGATTCACAGTTAGTCTTTCAAATCATTAATCCAATTCTTAAAATATGAACACATCAAACCAGTCTTTAAATGTTGATTTTGTCATTGGATATCCAACATCAAATTAGGGCTTCTTTTCTTTTTATATATTTGTGCAACTCTTCGAGAATATCTGCAAAATAAGGATCCAAAATTAAGAAACTAGATATTCAAAACATAATTTACTTTAGAAAATGTCATCTATTTCTTTTATCATGACCTCTCACTACAAAAGTATTATTTTATTTTTATTTATTATTCTTTTAAAAAATTTGTACAGAAAATTTTATAAAAAAAAAAATAACACTATTTTTTATTATTCCGTATATAAAATTTTAAAAATAAAAAAGTAAAAATTAAATGACAAATTTATAATCAACTACATGTTATGAATCATTAAGTATACCATATTAAATACTTTAAATTATCATAAAAAGTATGCATTGAATGCTTTCTATTATTTTAAAAATAATGAATACTCTCGTTTTCAATAATTTTTTAAAACCTTTTAATATGTGCTCATGCATACATTAGCAAAATCGTTTTATAATTATTGATAGAAGTAAAAATAGAAACATGGTGTAAGCGTTGATTGTACTGGTGTTTGTATTTTGTTGTTGCATGGGCTATAGAACAAATGAATGCACCTCAAACTAGTCTAAATTCAATGAATGGTACTGCTAGCGGATGAGAAGCACTTTTGGCCTCTTGTTTAGACCATAAGCTTTTATGAGAGAGATACACTTCTTGATTTTCGAAGTATAATCACATAATTTAAGTACAAAAGTGTTATATATTTCTACAGTATTTTTGCATAGTTATTCTCACAACTGAAAAGTAAATAAGGATTAAATAAAATAAAATAAAAACTAAGTGATGTGATGGAAAAAAAGAAAAAATATATAAAAAGATGTTGTAAAAAATATAATTCATTCTTCTTTCTTTTGGCGAAATAATTGATTGTGTATATTTAGATAAATACTCTTACAATTTATATTACTATTTTTCTGATTCAGAATACACAGTAAGAACTAGTATATATATATATATAGTAAAATTTTATTGAAAATAACAAGATAGTGTAGAATTTGATACATTAACAACATTAAATATTATAATTTTTAATAAAATCTTATTAATTCTTGATTTCTTAACACGTACTCTTGGACGCACATTGAAAAAATCATTGATACTTTTTGTTAGAGATTTATAGATAGAAAAATTTTCAATGACATTACAAGTAAATGATGTTAAACAACAAGAGAATTACGGAATGCAAAATACAAACAAATAAAAAGAAAGATAAAAGTAAAATAATTCAGAAAAGAAAAGGTCAATAGATAAAGGATAATGACAAAGAAAAGACTAATGTTTCAAGAGAGAATAACTCAGATGTACATGAGTTAACTCACTACTTGCACTTTAGTTAAAGAAATATTTTGATTTATAAGCTAGTAATACAAAAAAAGAAAAAAGAAAAATTGATTTTAAAAAGCAATAACATTTTTCTATTATGCGTTAGTAAAAAAAAAGTATAATTTATTTTAAAACAAGATTTTCTTACATTATTGTAAGTTTAAAAACTTTTATACTTAACATGAGTCTTTTATTTAATTTATATTTAACGAATTATAATTTATTATTTTACTAACAGTTAAATATAAATTAAATGAAAGACTCAGATATGAAAATTTTTAAATTTACACTAGTGTAAGAATTTTTTTTTATTTATCTTTCCAAACGGAAGGTTGCATCAAATTAATTTCTCAAACAAATAGGCTGAATTGTCCATCTTTTCTATTCCTTGAATGAAAAATGCTCCAAAAAAAAATTGCAAGCAGAAAAGCTCATGTTATCTCAGTGACGAAGGCATGCACTGTCAACATGAGTATAACACGCCATGCAACACTTCAATTAAACTTTTAAGAGTAAGTAAACCAGTCATGAATATTAAGTCTAATGTACTATTTGACTTGCTTTTTTTTAATATATTCTTTATTATTGACTAAAATTTATTTAAAATTATAAAATTACATAAATTTTACTCATAATTTAATGAATCTTACTTGTAATTTCATAATTTTTAATAAATTTCAACAAATAATAAAGTGTGCTTGAAAAAGATGTGAGTATATTATCAATAAATAAAAATTGTGGTAAATTCAGCTAGTGATATCATTTACCTATTTGTGCGTTTAACTTTGATTGTTTTGGTGAAAAATATTATGTAGGAATAAAAAAGTATAAGAAAGTTTCCATATGTTTAAATGTTTTGTTTTATAAAAGTGAAAAATAATATTTTCTGTAGAGCCTACAAAACAAATTTGCACACATAATAGTTAAATTTTGGGTGAAAACGTGTAGTGATTTTTTTATTTGTTTGTAGTTTATTAAAATAATATGAAAAAAATACATAATTAAGAAAATATATTATATTAAATTTTAAATTTTTTGTTAAAATAATTGTTATGTTATATGAAAATATTTTTTTTTTCATATAAATTACCTTTGGTACCCTCTTTTCCATTTATCTAAACAAGTAAAATTTTCTTATTGTTTTTTCTCTTATTTCTATCCATCTAAATAACAAGTTTTTCCATCTTATTCCTTATATATTTCTCTTACTACATTCTTTTCTTTATATTTTCTTTCCACTCATTTTCCATTTCATCCACATATAATGTTGATGTAACATTCATTCAGTGGACTCACTCCTGTTGAGTCTTGTGTAAACTAATGCAATGTCAATTTAGTTTATAGACTTTGTTTCATCACTCTGCCAAAACGGGCCTTACATACTAATCTTCCAAATTGAATGTTTAGTGTCCTAAAGTAGGCAATGAGACCATAATCTACAATCAGTTGTGGACCAAGAAATTTTAAATTCCGAGGGGAACACGTATATATAAATCTGTGAGGGCAATACAAATACATATATATATATACACATACTAAATATAATATAAAAAAATAAAATCTTTTGTGGGGCAAAAAGCATATGAGTAGGTCCATCCCTGTCAACAATGAATGTATCAATTTTCAGCTGAGGGGATCCCACATCATGAGAAGAATTCAAGATTTTATAATACACCACACATGACCTGTTGCAGGGACCAACATTAGACTGTGCCTAACAGCTTTAGAAGAAGTGAGATAGGTGCCAAAAACTAAATCATGTTGAGGACCCTTTAACAGATTAAACATTGCACCAGCATGTTTTTCAGCCTTTTACTGCAACTGTGGTATTGGAATGTGTGATCTTCTCTTCTTTTGGGCCCATGTTGGTCCATAAATGGCCAGGAGCGTCCGGCCGAACCGCCTATCAGTTATCTGTAATTCCACACAACCACTTTAACATTTCAATTTGTAGGCATATCATCAAAATCCACATGTATAATACAAAGTCATAAATGGAGGTCCTGCACCCCCCATGAGCCCATGAGTGGAGGAGCAACATATCATATGTTACCAAGACAGTACAATTGGTTACTTGAATTAATTACCTTCACAAGGCTTCCACAAGAATCCAGCATATCGGTTTTTAAAGGATACTCAACTACCTAGATCAGAAAATGACAATTCAATACAAAATTAGTAAGACCATTTGGACCAAGAATAATGAGAAAGTAGGAAACTAGTACATACAATGAAAGTGTCCTTTCCAACCAATGATGATTCCGATATTTGCCTCATCAGCACCTCATAGTTAACTTGTGTATATGGAGGGGTGACACTAATGTAATCAAATGGACCACTGTTTCCTGCATTTAAACAATTCAACTCACAACAGCAGAAATTTTCATGCTAATTTCACTTTGGGAGTTGTCTGTGGTGGAGATAATGCTGGAAATATTTATTGCATTCCCTTAAATAAAAATCTCTACAGCAGTTACTGGTAATTCTTATCCCAGCAATACTTTTTGTGTCAGACATTTCATATTTCAAGCCATATAAGTATTTTTGCACACGAGGATCTGTGTGTGTTATAATTCATATATCATTTTGTAACCTTATAATTTTGCATAACCCTAATCCCAGTTGACTAAGAAGCTAGTAGATACTAGAACTAGATATGCAAAAAATGGAATTAAAAGAGAAAAGATATACATGCCTACAAATTGCTCCGCACGTTCAAAGAATTTTTCCACACGGACAGTATGTATGACTGAAACATCAAGGAATCCAGTTTCCTCCAAGTTTGGACGTAAAACATCGGATACAACCCAAGGATCCATCTCAACAAAATGCACCTGAAATGTTTTTTTTTATAATCATATAAACAAGAAAAATCAGGCAAAAAAATGTATTACACACTGTAAACTTAAAAAACAAATTGCTGAAAATTCTTTTGTGCATCTCCTTGAAATAGATGAAAATCTGTTAATTCAATTTCTTAACAAAAGGCTGATTCTATCACTTTCAGAGATAACTCAGAAAATCTGCCAAGTGATCACAATTTTATGCCGCAAAACTCACAATCCATAGGATATAGAGATTGCAAACTGCTCATTGAAAATATTAATACCTCGGAACATCCTCGGCTAAGTGCTTCAATTCCCACAGAACCTGTACCGCTATACAAGTCTAACCAGCGACCAGGTCTCAAGGATGCAGGACAGCCACCAGCCGCCTTGGTATTTCAAAATAAAAAAATTTAGTATCAACAAGAGAGTTGCAGCTAGGAAATTATAAAGACCAGATGAAACACAACATCAACAATTAATTAGCAAACAAGTGTGCTACATAGGAGATGATAAAACATGAAAATGGTACCTGTAATATATCGAAGGCTGCACCTTTCACCACTTCCATCATGGGGCGTACATCCATGCCCTTTGGTGAGAGTAGCTTTGTTCTTCGAGCTGTTCCTCCAAGAACCTATGCAGGATTCATTTCAAACCTAAAATCAATTCTACCAACAGAAAAGTTAAAATAAAAATTCACATCTCCCAGAATCAAGTCTATTCTACCCACCCCAAAATTGATTTTGAAAAACTAAAAAGTTAGCCAAACAACCATGGTTACTAGGGATTGTTTGCAAGTGGAGATTTTGGAGTGAAAGGGAGGAGAGGGCAAGTGTTCCATTTTAAATAAATATATTTTAATTTGATAATTTTTCAGGATAAAAGATATAAAATGGTAGATTAATAACAAAAAAAAAAAATTTATTTAAAACATTCTCACCTTCACCTTGGTTTTACAGTCTTCCAATCAAACTCATAATCATTGGAAATAAAAGTCAAGGTTACTTTCATCATTTCTAAAAACTAATTCTACGATATTTAAAATCAGTGAATCAAGGTAGCCAACCCTAAAAGGTTTTAACTTTTAAGCTCTTGGAGAAAGAGGTGCTAAAAAGCACATGACTTAAAGAAAGGCATTGTCATAAAAAAGAAGACATCAGTTAAATAAATGAACATATTGCATTAATTTACCATATAAATTAAGTAATTAACTATTAAAGCAGAACATTCAGAGTAAAATACTACAGAAAGATGTTCAAGTAATGAAGCTTGATAAGTTGATAACCACCTCCAGAGATTAGTGTACAACCTAAATGAAATGAAATAAAATTACCATACCATTTTAAAGATATTTTATGATGGAACAGAGTTAAGTTTCTATGCTGTTGTTTGCAAACACAAATTGATTGGGTTGGCACAGGGAGAGAAAAACAGATGTATTATCCTAAGTTCATCAAATGGAAAATGGTAAGTTAACAATACATCAAAGGGTATATAACTAAAAGGGCCTCAAGTCTAAATTGCTTAGACAGATAGGTCACTCAAGCCTAAGTCCAATCACTCTCCCTCACTCTTGGATCGGACCTACATTCAAAATTATAATGGAAAATAGTCTGAGAGTGCATCGATGAAATCATCATCAGATTCAGTACCGCCCATCATCACTTTCATCTCCATCTAATTTATGACCAAACATTTTCATTCATTGATCAAGGAAAATATGAAGCCCACAAATAAGGGAGTTTGACAAAATAAAAAAATATAAAATTCCAAATATCTCTATCATAATAAAACCTTTAGGAATAGTGGCAATTCATCATACACATAGAATGCAGCCATCTAGAATTACATAGGAAGACAAAGACAGCAGGAAAATGGGGATTATACTCCTCTAAAGTGTAGGATACACTTCACTTGGAATGATCACTTTCACAATTTGGTTTACAAAGTACAAAAAAGAGCAACATCACACTAGTAATATATCAATGAACATATAAAAAAATAAGCACTCTTTATTTTCCTCATAAATTAGCACGTTAGAGTCCTAAAATGATAATACCTGAAGCAATTTATGGGTAGTACGAGGAGGCTTAGGGTCCTCTATTGGGTCCTGCACTTTCTTCCCTCCTCTTGTCTTTAGATGCTCTTTTTTCCGCTTTGACTAAACAGTTTCCATTCAGAATATAAATTAAAAGAAGAAGGAAAAACAGTTAAATTCACAAAAACACAATTCACACAAATTTTCAAAACATAGAAAAAAGAAGGAACCTTAGGAGATGGCTGAGAAAAGTACTCATCAGCATCAACATCGTAGCCATACCGTTCAAGCAAGATTTTTTTCTCTTCACTCGCCAACCCATTTTCAGATTCTGCAAAGCATTGAAGACACACAAGGTTCCAACCATATTGGAACATTAAAAATGATTTATATTTTAAACTTTTGAGCAACAATGAACTTACTAGTGTAAGAGAAGATGAGGAGAGAGGAGGAACGGTTGGTCGGTGTGAAAGAGAATGTTAGAAGAGGAGATGGTTGTGACCCAAAATTTGTGTTGGTGTTTAGAAGGAGTGAGGACAGTGTTGGAGACAAAATCGCCATTGTTAGAGGATGATGAATTGAAGCAAAGGTGGAGAGATAAACTGTCTCAGATAGATGATAAACTAAAATCCATTAATTAAACTAGGCTTTAAAATTTAAAATAAATTTGTTAATTCTTGAAATGAGTAGGCTGAAATAATAATATTAATTATTCATAATTTTATTTTAAATATATATAATAAATAATGAAAATTGTATATCAAATATATAATAAATATTAATAATTTATTTAAAAAATATAAATATTTTTAAATTTTAAAATATTAAAAAAGTTATAACTGTAAATTTTTAAAAAAATATAAAATATTTTTATTATTTAAATTATAAAATTAATACTTAAAGTTACTGATATTTATTAATTTAGTTCAAAAATTTATAAACATTATTTAATTTAGCTATTAAAATCATAAAATAAAAATTATATTATCTAATCATACAGATAGTTATATAAGTATTATGATAACATTCAATTTATCACATTTAACATGTTAAATAAAATTGATAAAAATTAGTCAAAGGACCAGGGCTTTTTTTTAAAAAGAAACTTTATCATAATTTAAAGAATAAAATGGACAAGTTGATGTAATTTCAAGAGTTAAAATAGTTAATTCTTTAGCAGTAAAAGTTTTATTTCAAATAATAATTATAATTTTAACAAATAAATGAAATAGTATTCATAATAATTTATTAATAAAAAATGTGCCAAATAGTATACAGTAATAGCACAGATAGAAAGTGGCACCATGGCAGAAGAAAAAGAAATAGCAAAGGAATATCCGACAGAAGAGGGACATTGTTGAAGCATTTGAAGACCAAACTAAACAGATTGAACCATTTATTTACATATCTAAATATATGATTGATGCTTATCATGTTCCCATGCTCAAGGACCCAACCAATTCATTCACAAGAACCACAACTATCTATTCCTTTCTTGTTCCATGTCTAAGTTTTATCTTCAAACTCACAGAAAAATAAATAATTTAAATGAAAATATATCATAATTTAGAATAATCGGTTCTTTAAAATAAATTTAAAAATATTAATTATTAACTTTTTTTATACTCATTATACAAATTATTATCTATAATATTTAATATTATAGATATTTTTAGAATAAAATTTATATTTATAAAAAATATAAATGACTTAATTGCTTTCTTTACTTTTTAGAGATTTAATCTTTTATTTTTATAAAAAAGATAAAATTTATAAAAAATGTTAAATATACTTTATTTTTATAAATTTTCATTATTTGTTAATTATTTAATTAATACTCCGTGACTAATTAATAAGATTCTCTTGAATTTAATGATTGAAATAGTAAAATAGAAAAAATAGTGAGCTGGTCCCAGTGGAAGTGCTTGTAACGTTTACGAAGAAGAACACGTGCTCCCACAGTACATCGTGTCGGAAACTCAGACATAACTGTCTGCACGACACTACCCTTTCCATTGCACACGCTTTCGTTTCTATTATTTCATATTTTAATTTTAATTTAATACTTATTTTTATATTTTATAATTTTTAATAATTAAAAATATGTTAAAAATAATGTGTGAGAATTCTTCTTTTCACAGTACTCTTTTCTCAAACACTTTGACCACTATTCCTTTCTTCATATCCAATATTGAACCAAAGCTTGTTCTTGCTTGATGATTACAGAATTTAAAGACAATTATGAAACTTAATCTCAATGCTAAACAATTTGTTACATGAAAAGATGAAGTTTAGATTCTCTTGTGTGTATCTTTATTATCAAGTTTTTAAATTATACAATAACTTATGAAGATATTTTCAAAGAGTATATTTTGGATTTTTGGAAAAAAAAATTAATATCGGAAAAAGATAAGAAAAGAGAAAAAAAAAATGATAAGATTTATGATATAATCAAAAGAAGATTCGACTCTTCTAAGCTAATTAAAAATAAATTTTTATTTATTTTGATTTAAAATTTAATCATATACAATAAATATTTAAATTCAAATCAATAATAAATATTATTTTTTTATACACGTTTCTTCTTAAAGAGGAATCAAATTTAACAAGAAAATTTTAAAATAGTGAAAATATAAATAAGTTTGTTTACTTTTAAATTTTAATATATTTTAAAAAAATTGTTTTAGGACAATTTCTAATTGACAAAAAATAACGTAACGAGATTTGTTTGAAAGTAAAAATGTATCTTACTGCTCACGGTACTCATAAAAAGTCTAAAAAAATGTATTTATAATTTAAAAGTAAATATAATACTATTTTTATAACAAAATTTTATGTAATAAAAATAAATAAAAAAATATGAGATAAGATACGGGATTAAAAAGAAAAAGAAAATATATTATATGAACAAGATCTTATTTTAAAATTTAACATGTTAAATGATACTAAACAACAAAAAACTCTTCAAAATTTTACTTTATATATTTAGCCTCGTGCTGAAGGAAAAGGTAGTGGAAAAGGTAGTGTTATTTTTCTCTGCTATCATTATTAATCCTCTTTCATCTTCGCTTAATCCACGCGCCTCCACGTGTCATTTTGTGGACCGTTGGATGGAATCCTGAAAGGACCCCACAGTCTTAAGCGTTTGCATCCGTCATCATGAATGACCCTTCACCAGCTCAACGACGAAGCTGGTAAGCTATCCCCATTGATTCTCCGAACACCCACTTCAAAAAAGCACCGATTTTTGCGCAGGGGAACGAGAATCACGAAGAGGGTCGCAGAGAAAGAGAGAGAAAATAATGGGTGCTTGTGGGTCAAGGCCCAAAGTCTCTGAGGACCTTGCAACGAAGAAAAATCATCATCGAAGCAACAGAAGAAGAAGAAGAATCTTACGAAGACGCGTGTCTTCTCGAAAGATCGAAGCCAATGTTACTCACTCTGGTTCCGCTTTGCAAGCATCTAATCGTGCTTCAGGTGTTTGCTTTCACTTGTGGTTTTTTTTTTCTTTTGTAAATCGTTAATCAATGATACCCCTTTATTTTGTTTGTTCAGTTTTTGTTCAAATTAATTGTTGTAACTTGAAAAAAAAAAATACCGCAGTTAAATGAATGCTGTTTTTTTTTTTTTTTTTTTTTGGCTTGTGCTGAAAGAGTTGAAATTTATTAATCTTTTTAATTAAATGTAATTTGATTGACATTTTTGTTTTCTATTTTTAGATGCTGCTTGGTTTGATTCTACTTCTGCGTTGGATTCTGAATGTGATGATGAATTTTACAGCGTCTATGATGGTATGTGGTATTTTTTTTTTAATAATTTTGAGTATCAGAGTATCAATTTATTTATTTTTGTTCGCTGCATGGTTATATGTTGTTTTACATTAATGTTTGATAGATGGGGTGTCTTTGAATGAGTGTGAAATTGGGTCAAGACCAAACGATTCATCTCCTAAAGGAGTTGTTGATTCTGTGTTTGGTGATCACCAACAACAGAAACTGAGAGTGCACCCTTACAATTATTGTCGTAGCAATTCTTCTTTGAAGATTGCTAAGAATCAAGCCAAACCAAAAGATTCTACATTGAAATCAGATGGACCTCAAGCTGAGTTAAACTCTGTTTCAACAGGGGAAGTGTCCACTGGTCATGCAGATGAGATTGGAGAAGACAGGAAGCTAAGCCTTGATCATTGCGGGATTTTGCCGAACACCTGTTTGCCTTGCCTTTCTTCCAATGCCCTTGCTATTGAGAAACGGAGGCCTATGAGTCCTGATACACCAAGTTCACGAAGAAAGTCAGTTTCTAAACTCTCCTTTAAATGGAGGGAAGGACCTTCGGATATGACATTACGTGAGTGTTCTTGACTTTTTCGCTAAGAATGGTTTTCTGTTTCTGTTCTTTAGTGTTTTTCAGTTTTATGTGATTGGAATAATTAGGGTTTGTTTCGTTTGAGAAAATGTTTGCTGTCTTCGTTTCCTATTGTGATAAATAATTATGAAAATGTCACCTTGTTTTCACTTTGTTTCATGTGACAATCTTTAAAAAGAGGAAACAAAGTTAAAATAATGTGACATTTTTGTAATTATTTATTAAAACAGGAAATGGAAACAGAGAATGTTTTCCCAAACCAAACAGACTCTTAGAGTGGCTGTGAAAGTGCTGATACTGTGTTTGTTTGTAAGATTGAGCTTCTTTTATTTCTCCGGCCATGCTTACAATGAAATGAAAATGTCGGAACACATGAAAGGCATTAGCTATTTCTTTTATTTGCTCTTCCTTTTGAGCTGGCTATATCATGCACTTTCCAGTTTTTTAATGTTTTCTGCAAGTTCTTTTTATGGCTTTTCTTGTTACTAATTCATGGCCTTTCTTTTATTTCAGTTTCCCCTAAGGCGTTTAAACAAAAACCGTTGGGAGGTTCCTTGATTCCATTTTGTCCAATAGAGAAGCAAACTCCTGGTTCTTGGTCACCAGTCGAGTCAAGCTCCTTTAGAGTCAGAGGCAAAAATTACTTTAGGTAGGCACCAAATTCATATTTTGGACTAAGACATTCTTTTGGTGATTGAACCTGTTGTTAGGGATGACCCTCAAATAGGGCCCATTCAGTATGTTAACAGTAAAGCACTGTTCCATTCTTGAATTGTTCTATAATTCATTTTTACATGGTTGGCAGGGATAAGAAGAAAGATTTTGCTCCAAGCAGTGCTGCTTTCTATCCTCTTGGCGCTGACCTCTTTTTGTCTTCGCGAAAAATTGATCATATTGCGCGTTTTGTACAAATTCCTGCAATAAACATACCTGGAGATGTCCCTTCTATTCTTATTGTAAATATTCAGGTATTGAACTCAAACTGAGAATATCTCATCCTTATTATTGAGATATGCAATTTATGTCAGGCACCCAATGTATGGGTTTTCTTCCCATTCTGTATATATGGGTGTCAGTTTTCTTGATAATTCTGTATCATGCACTGAAATACACATTCATCCCAATGTGGACTTTCTTCTAAGAAGATTGTGACGTATTTATGCTGTTTGAAATGCAGATACCATTGTATCCTGTCACAATCTTCCAAAGCGAAAATGATGGTGAAGGAATGAATGTGGTTTTGTACTTTAAATTATCTGAAAAATACTCTAAAGACCTTTCAGAGCAATTTCGGGAAAATATCAGTGTAAGGGGATATGATCTTTTATCCTTTTTCCTTATTAGTGTGCCCCATGTTACATAAAACGTTGCCTCTGCAATGATATGCATGTAGTTTTTGGACACTCATTAATATTGTGGCTGGTCTTTTGTTCCTTGGCAGAAATTGATCAACGACGAAGTGGAGAGAGTTAAAGGCTTCCCTCTAGATACAATTGCACCCTTTAGGGAGAGATTGAAAATTTTGGGTAGAGTGGCGAATGTGGAGAATCTTTCCTTAAGCACAACTGAAAAGAAGCTCTTGAATGCTTACAATGAAAAACCTGTTCTCTCACGCCCTCAACACGAGTTTTTCTTGGTAAATACACATGCATATTCTAGTTACAGATCTGATGTTTCAATAGATTCTCCATGGGCCATTTAATCTTGCATTGAAGCAATCATCCCTTAAGCTTCTGCTTCATTAAATAATTATTGGGAAAATCATATTGAAAATTTTTATTTCTCTTTTTATTTATCCTGCTGTAGCACTTTTAGAAGCTCATTTAGATTTTGATTTTATTTTCATTATTTTGATCTGTCTCTTTCATCTTCATTTTCACTTTGAAAATTGTTAACATAGTAATGAACATATATTTCTCCATCTCTAGGGAGCTTGAGTTATATAGAAAAATATTTTAGCATTCAACATATTCCTATTCTGATGCTATTTCTTTCACAGGGAGAAAACTATCTTGAGATAGATTTGGATGTACACAGATTTAGCTATATTGCAAGAAAAGGATTTGAAGGCTTCATCGAAAGACTGAAGCATTGTAACTTGGATTTTGGCCTGACAATTCAGGTAGTTTTCTTATAATTTTATTGGCAACATAGCTTGTTTGGTATTTTTAAACATTCTCTGTTTTTATTTTCTGTTTTCGCTTTTAATTAAAAAATTGACACCTTATTTTCATTTAGTTTCCTGTTTTCTAAGATTTGTACATGAAAAAGTGAAAACCGAAAAAAGAAATGTTTTCAATGTTTTCTGTATAAATCTTTGAAAACAGGATACAAAATAAAAACAATGCAACAGTTTTGTAATTAAAAGTGAAAATAGAAAATAAAAACAAAAAACTTTTTCTGAAGCCAAACATTACTTATATTTTATTCTATAATAACCAAGTGTTAAGCTTATATTCACTATGTTCTCTTACCATTTAGTTTTACTATTGGAAGATTCAAGTCCTGATTTATGATATATTTTCAATTGCCTTCTTGATATAGGGAAACAAGGCAGAAGACTTGCCAGAACATTTATTATGCGCAATACGGTTGAATAAAATTGACTACAGCAACTTCAACCAAATTGGCTTTTAAGTCAACATAAAAGAGTTTTAGCCTCAATATCAATATATTTCATTATTATTCCAAGTGTGTTACTCATAGGCTGTTTTTGAATGAGATTATGTAGCTAACCGCTATGTATCTTTGAATTTCTTGATTCATTGGTATAAAAAAGTTGTAGAATGTACAGTGATGAGAATAATCAAATTGGAAATTACCAATGAGTAATTTATCTTTTTCATAGATACAAACAGTCCCTGAACCATGGTTATGACTTCCCATTTTATGTATTCAGGTCACTGCACATCTTTTACAAAGTTGCTAGACTACATGAATAATATCCACAGTATTAACTATTTAACAGTGAGAAAAATATTTCTCATGAAAGCATAGGTTTGTCAAGGAAGTAGATTTTAATACCTAACTAATATGTGCATGTCTATTTGTAAACTTCACAAATTATGTGAGTGAAATGTCGGATTCGAATCTCTTGTAATCAAACAACAAGATGCCAAAGGTCAATAAATGATGGTTCAATTATTTTGTAGGTCAGTGAGCACTTTGAGAAATTTTAAATAAGATTTTATATTTTAAAAGGTTTGCAAGTAAATCATTGAATTTTATTATTTTCAATTAACTTTTTGGATATTTCTATTAGGGTTCAGTTAATTGTAAAGATTCAAGTACTAATCTTTAATTAGTTTCAAAATTTATTGAATAACTAAACTAATAATTTAGGTTCTAAACTGTTTAAAAAATTATAATTAGATCCTTGAATTTAATAGAATGCTGACAAGAATGACTACAGGGACATGCTTTAAAAATTTAGAGACTAATCACACATTTTTAAAGTAAAAAGACTTCTTTAATTTTTTTTAAAATAATTTAGGGATCTATAGAGTAATTTAACTATAAATGAATTCAGAAATCTTATTTAAAAAAATTAAAAATTAGATCCTTAAACTTAATAGAATCCTAATAAGAATAAGACAAAGGACATGCTTTAAAATTTTAGAGACTTATCACACATTTTAAAAGTAGACTTATTTAATTTTTTTAAAAAAATTTAGGGATCCTTAGAGTAATTTAACTATAAATGAATTCAACAATACAAAGGGACCATTACAAGAAAGGTTTAATTATTTTGAAGGTAAAAATAAGCAAAGATAAAATGAATAATTAATATTTGCATTGAATTTCCTTTGAAAATCGAAATGTAAATCAAAATTATATAATTGCATGCAATAACCACAATCATTGAATAATTTGAACAGATGTGGAACACACACTTTCAATTTAGAAAAAGCTTAAATCTAGTAGGAAGTGTCTCTCTCAAATGTTCAGTTGGAATGAAAATTAAGTGTAATTAAATTAATATGATATATTTTAGCTTTTTCGCTTTCCCTTCTTTTCTATCTTGTGAGACCCTTGAACTTTTATGACCTAGTATTGGTAAAACAGGTTTGACCATGTAGATGAACCTGTTCAAAACTCATCATTTTTGCTAATTAGTTTATATTATTCAAATTAATCAACTAACATAACCTACAAATCGTGACAAGGAAGGAATAAACAAATTTCTTTTTTTCCCCTAATTCTAATAATCAAGTCTCATTATTGTTCAATCTTTATTCACATTCACAATTTTGCCTCTCTCATCTTTCACCTTTTTTTTTTATTTAATTTCTATTTTTTTATTTAATTTATGTTTGTTGTATTATTTAGGTAGAATGATTCACCAACCCTTCATAAGAAAAGAAAATTTGGGTGAATTGGCTTTCTCAATCTATTCTTTTAAAAGGCCCAACTTGTGTATCCCAATTTGGTGAGTTGATGGCTACTTGGCCATCATTGCGCTGAATCTACCTCAACGTTGGTCTTCACTTGAAAACAAAAATGATAAATAATTTTTTACGTTATTCATATACAAGTCATGAACAATTATTTCTTTTAGATTTTATTTATTCTCTTGCATTTACTTATTTATTTTTGCTATTCCCACTCCATTTTGTTTTTACTTTGTCATTATTCCTACTTTATGGTGATTAATACTAATAAACATTTTTTTGTCTCATGTTATTTATCTAATGTATATTTCTTTAAATGTTGTTAATTATATAAATTATGATGATAAAATAATCATTCTTTAGAAAAGTATCCTCTTATACACTAACGGAGGCAAGTGGCCTGTTATCGCTTAGATAAGGTATAGGTAGGTAAGTCCTATATAAGTGTTATTGAAATGGAACACTATATCCTCCCTTTAAAGTTTTTTGTATTAATTTTTTTATTTGTTAAACGAAAAAAAAAAATTAAATAGTATTTATCCTTTATTCCATAAGATGGCAGCATATTCGTTATTCTTTCGTGCATTGATGATTGAATTTTTCCAAAGGGTTAAATATTTGCAGTTTTCCCATTTTTGCTTATTTTCTTAGTTATTATTGAAAATTTGTTCGTGATGAATCTAGCTAAAACATAAGAACATTGATTGTACTGAGAACAAAGGCAAAAATGTTTATTAAAACAGGAAACTGAAGACATATTTGCATAACATGAAAGACTGATTAAAGTGTGACAAAAAAAAAAAGACCTTAAATTAAATTGTTGTAGGAAACAAATCTGATCAATCGCGATTAGCTGGAGAACTCATACATCGCCCAAAAATTGAGGAGAAAAAACTTCTATGTACCTTATTTTCTTTAAATGATGAAGATGAATGTGGGGTAACTTCATTACCATGTAACCCTCTAGCCATTTTGTTTTCTTCCATTTGTGACACATTTTCTTCCTTGTTGTTGCTCTTCACCGAGGCTTTTGGTTCCATGCATTGCATTTGATCTTGCCATATTCGACCAGAAGATCCTTGTCTTCTAAATGAAAATGATGATCTTTGCAACGTATTCATGATGAATCAGAGTGTTTCCTCTATTGTATTCTTTTCTTTGTTTCTTATGATCTATGATCTAATAGTGAAACACCCTTTTCTTCAATTAATTATTTTTAACTGATCACATAACTCTTTTTTGTTTAGAGAGAGAATATTAGGAAAATTGTTATGAAATCATCTGTTTGGTTATAAGGATACGGTTCTGATTAATTTAGCTTGTAAAATATAGTAAATAGGCTTTTCTATATTTATGTCTTATCCACACAATTTTGACAAATTCATTCCTGTCTGTTGCAATATTTAGAAGCTATCAAGTGTTCTTATTATCCACTTTTGGCAATGCTACATTTTAGGGACATACATAACAATAGAGCGATGTCTTCTGTCTTGCTTGTTTTTCATTTATTGGATCTAGAATCATTGATATTCGAATTAACAAAATTTAGGTGCAGTAATATAACTATTTTTGGTCTCTCTCTCTCTCTCTATATATATATATATAAATATATAAATATATAAATATATAAATATATATATACATATATATATATATATATATATATATATATTACTGAGTTAAAATTTCAATTTTGATTGAAAAACAGTATCCACTGTAAGTAAGTTTTTTAATAATCTAAATTAAGCTAGATTCCCAAAAACTATTTCTATAAACTATGAAGTTTTTTTAACATTTTAAATCAGTTACATTCCCAAAATTCAAACTGATTAAGTTAGAATAATCTTTTATCGGTTTATTTACTTGATCTCGATAATAGAAATCGTTTTTTATGATTTACGTTTCCTAAGGTTAGTAATAAAGAAGCCAACGAAGATAAGGCAAGTCTAAATATTGACGTTCCTTAGAGGCATATCAAGAAAAAACATTAAAAGTGAGGAGTTAATCAATCTTATCATATAATCATCATTAGTAGTTAAGATCAAGTGTATGTTTAGCAACAGTTCATTTTTTTTAAATAATTTTTTTTAAAGCTATCCTCAAACGTGGAAAAATAAATGATTATATTTTTAATAGAATATATTAATTTGAATACACATTGATGCTTCTCAAATTTTTACCTAATATATTGTGTGAGTGGACGTGCATGTGTGTGTGTGTATATATATATATATATATATGTATTAGATTTAAACATTGAACTCAATTAAGATAAATTTCCCTATCTGAATAAAATCTAGACTGCAAACTATTATCTCACTGATCCTTGTAAAGAAGATAAATCATAATTAAACATAATGATTAGTCACTTTTCTGGCACATTGTAGTTAGCTGAATCTAATGTGGAAGTCTTGAATTTAGTTATCTGATCATGAATAAGCAAGAAGCAATGCTATTAAAACACTTAGTAATCAAAAGAAGGATCCAAAAGTTCAGGGAATGCTGCTCTTATCTCACTATCCTTATCCAAAATACCATCCACAAATGAATTCCCTGAAGAAGAATGACCCTCACACTGCTTATTAATTTGATATTCCATGCTTGCATCACAAGCAACAGCCTCAGAATCCTCACTTGCAGCTCCATGCTTGTCATGTCCATTGCTTTTGGTATAGTTAGAAAGTTCAACTTCACTTTGCAATAGAGTTGAGGGGTTCAATGATGACACAACCCTTTGTAAGTCACACTGTTGTAGCTGCTGAAACTCTGACCACATAAATGGGTCACTGTGAAGAAACTCACTCCAATCAAAGGAAGAACAAGGAGGGTTGATTTGTGTTTGGCAAGAATAGGACTTTGGAGAGCTTAATTGTGTGAGATTAGAGGAAGATGAGGATGAGGTTGAGGATGCAGCTTCACTGAAGACATGTGGTTGGACATTGTCTAAGTTGGTGACTTGGTATTGCACTTGATGTTCCCATGAGTCAACTTGATCCTCTTGTGTGTGATCCACAATTGACTTCTTGGAACATGCATTGGCTATAGATGGTTCAGTTCTGGTTGGTAGCATGTTGCTCATCAAGTCCTTGTTGACAAAACCCGTTTGGTTGCTTGTGTTTGGGAGGCCACTTATGTTTCCCAAGTCAGAGAGGACTTGTGACACTGGCTTATGTGTTATTGGATCAATTCCCATCTTCATAAGCTTCTTTCTCAGCTTTGTGTTCCAGTAGTTCTTGACATCATTGTCTGTTCTCCCGGGTAGTCGCTTTGCAATTAAAGACCATCTATGTTTTAAAAAAATGTTTGTAATGAGATGTCACATATAAGGTGATGAGATTTTCATCTTTAACGAAAAAAAGGTTAAAAGAAAAGCAAAGGAAAAAGGGTTTATATAGTTAGCACATTTGTGATGCATGTCAAAGTTTATGGTTAGTTCACAGTGCAGTTTATATTTTCCTCATGTTATATAAACCAACAACTGCATAATGTTTTGTCATGCTAATTTTGCTCATTTTTCTGAGACTAATAGCTATATCAGAAAGCAGAAGTTAGTAAGTTGCACCCCTATGCTCTGATCAGATGGCTTTAGGAATTAATTTTAAGAACATCAGAAATTAAATTTCTTTTCCAGCATAAAGCATATAGGTGAATGAAATATGTAGTTAAAATACAAATATGATGCAAGATAAACTCTATCACAGCAGGCAAATTATACTGAAAGATACAGATTTTACTTCAAAGGCAATCTAAAAATGTGGTTTTAATTTGTCACATTTTATATTGGTTTCACACATTGCACTGAGGCTCTATAAAAGAATTTTTTCAAATATAAAGAGTAGAAAATACCTGCTTCCTATTGCTCCATGAAGGTTGATAATGAGCTCTTCTTCTTGGGGAGTAAAACTATCATGCTTGAGGTCAGGTCTTAGGTAGTTGGTCCATCTTAGCCTACAGCTCTTGCCACACCTATTCAGCCCTGCAAACAAGTTCAAGAACAAAAGAATAAACTTGCACCATACGAAATTATAATCTCTTAATTCCCATGTTAGAGTGCGTTTGGAAGAGCTTGTTTCAGTATAGCTTATTGCAATGAGTTATATAGTCAAATTTAATTTTATGGTATAAGCTTTTCATGTAAAGAGAACTAATTGAATAAGCGTTTGCTGTGTTTCCAAACGCACCCTTATTATTTTGGAAGGAAAAGCTTGAAGAAACCTGCTTTTTTTGGAACCAATGTCCAGTTTCCAGTACCATGGTTGGCCACATAGGCAAGTATTTTAGCATCTTCTTCAGGAGTCCAAAGGCCCCTTTTCACATTGGATTTGTCACAACAAGGAGGCCTTCCCATTTTTCAATGAGAGGAATAAGAGACAGAAGCTGAGATGTGAGGGAAGGAGTGAGTGAGTGAAATGAATTATGTAATGGTGATGCAATATGCATTGAAGGGTAACTTTAAAGTGGTGAAAGGGACTAATGTTTAAGATATGAAGAGGCAAGAAAAGCATGCAAATTTTGGCTCCTAATAACAACAATTGCATGATTATATTCATCTTTCTGTAAACAAAATAAAAAACCAAAACAATTTGTATGACATCAGAAACATAATGCAAGTGCCTTCCCATTTCTTCTTTCTCTCATATGCCTCCTTCTCAAAAGCAATTTCTATTTTCAGGTGCAATTTGAATGACCAATTTTGTTAAAACTGATTCTGATACCATCAAATGACATGCAATCAAAATTCTTTCATTTGAGTATGTAACTTGGCAAATAGGCCTCTCTTTAGTAGTACAGTGCCAACTGCCAACTCCCAATTGAACATAACTTCATGACACAAAATAATAAAGAAGTTCATATAGACCCTTTTCACAAGATAGATTCTAATTGATAGAGCCTGTGTAAGCATTCTATAAGGAAATTATGAAAAATGAATCTTAGTACAACATATCTTACACCATTTTCTTGCATTACTTTTCTTTTAGGCAAAAGAAAATTTAAGGATTGGAAGCTGTCCAGTGTAACTCATGGTGATGCTTGCATCAATCTATCTTTCTATTTATTTATCTATTATAATATATAAAAACTAAAATATTGTCCAATTATCTTACTTTAATGTTTTGTTTAGCTAACTAAATATTTTGTATGTATTTTTTTGTATGTTTGTTTTTGTAAAAATCTTCCATCCATTTTAATTTCTTTAATTTGTGTTTTAAGTGATTAGCATGAAAGTGAATAAATAAATACAAGTTTTACTTTAGATATATTTATACACCGCATTAATTTGTATAGGGAGTTTAAATGAACACTGTATACTTCATATTCCTTATTATTCAAAACTAACATTAATGAAATTTGTGTGATGTATTTTATGAGAGGAAATACTAAAGCACACCAAAAGCATTTGTGTCGTTTGAGAAGTTTGTCATTCTAACATTTGTAATTAACTAATTATTGAGAGACTTTATCGTACTCAAGATTCCATACATTGTACATCATAAAATTCTAAATGAAAAAGATAATTATTCCCAGCTATTTTCTACTTTTCAATTTCTCTTACTATTGTTAAGTTTTATAAGAAGAATTAAGGTACCTGTTCATTTTCTTCTTTAACATGGTGTCATAGGTTTCATCTCTTGCATTCTAGTGAAAAAAAAGTTGAATAAATAACATCCACCTATGCTTATGCAAATGGAAGTAAATATATAAGCACTAATTTAAATATATTTTAAAGGTATTTGCTACCTTATTTATAAACTTAATTATAATTATTTTTATATTTTAAAAATTAAATGACATTTATATTTTTTAAGATGAATCATTAATCTGTGTTATCTATTATACTTATTTAATATAACATTAACAAAGATGATTATTTTACTTGTATAAAAGGTATAGAATGCTTTCTTAATCTGTAAATCATCAAAGAAATTACTTATTTTAAAATATTAATTTCACATCACTGTTATTGTATGTGATTAGTTGCTACTTTCTTATGTATTTTATTTCTTAATTACTTGTATATTCTTTGTATGTAATTTATTAATTTATCATAATATTATTAATGTGCAAATGTAAAAATATAAAAATATTAGTAACACAGACAAGAATTAACACCAAAACTTTTTTGTTAACGAATTTTCAAACAGCTTTTGCTTCCGTCAATCACACGTACGAGAGAATGGTCAGCTCAGGACCAACAACGCATTTTAAACATAACATAATCATTCTCATACTTGGGATTTGCTTGTTTTACAGTTAAAAAAATTAATTCTTATCCTTTTAAATAAGAATACACTTTTCAATAAAAATGTTATTCAAATTAGTTTATGAAATAAAAAAACAGAAGTCACGAATAATAATTAAGTATAGGTAACAAAGGGAGAGCACAAGAGATTATAAAAAATGAATGAAATATGATAGCAAGCAATAAATATGGCTAGAATTTTTTAGATTTTAGAAAAACAGGTATGGAAGTTACTGGCAAGAGAGTTCCATGTTGCAGTTAAGTAAAAATGAATGTTATGTACAATATATTTGACAATGTATTATGACTCTACATGCATTTAATAACAATGAAATTGTAAGAGACTCCCTATGAAGAGCAAACATTGCAACTCTTCATACAGCTTCCTCTGACTCCTTCACTGCCAACCATGTAAAGTGGGTTCTTCTCACATTCACCTACTTTAGCCCACCTAGGGCAATTCTCATTCTCATCAACACACTCCCCACTATCCACTCGCTTCACTGGTTTATCAAAGTCACTCACATGAATCCACTTAGTTGCAGACCACTTCTCACCCTCAATCACTGGGCAGCTTCCATGCAAGCTTTTAGTATCCGTAGTTGCGTCGAGATGTAGACTGAAGAACAACAAGGCATCACCCTTCCGAGGTTTCACTGAAATGCACAAACAGAAAGTGTTATAATTTAGATCCTGTGCCATAAAATAAGCCATGAAATCTGGTGGTAGTTTTGTTCATTTAGGTGTTGAATACTCGGTGTATCATAAGATCAACATCAACGATCACATTGGAAAAAATTTTGGCAAAAGGAAGATGTGTCAACAAACGCAACACATATAAATAACCAACCTAGTAATACAAAATGAAGCAGCTAAGATTAAAAAAACAAGTTACAAGAAATGGTGAAATACTCATTTGCCCCAATCAAGTTTTTATATAAATACACTAAATTATAGGTTTAGGTAGAGAAAGAGGCAAGAGAATGAGTAATAAGATATTAATATGATTAGTTACAAAGTACTATCTAATGGTCCTATTTAAATTAACAATTATTTCAAATACTAATGTACAATTTACTTGCAAAGGCCCAAGGCCCCAAGCCCATCATTAGAATTGTTTGGGTAGACATCTTAATTAAGCATTTATTCAATAAACTCTACCACATGAGCGTCTATGATATAAATTTAATCATGAAACTTAAAAATAAATTATCTTGACAGGAATCATTACGAAGCTTACTAAAATAAATTTTGAAAAAAAAAAAAAGAATCTAATTATGCACACCACCAACTAATAAGCACTGGAGACTTGAAGGAAGTCTGATGTAGTTCAAAATAAACAATGATCTGATGTCAATTCATCAAAAACTGTGCTAATAGTTTTGTAAAATCATCCTGATATATATATATACCTGCATATCCTTTGTGAGCACATTCAGACCAGCTCTCATCTTTTGGCTGTGACAACTTTGCCTGAAAAAGCAAACAAATTAAGCATGATTTCACTTTTTTTTGTTTGAGGGGAGGGCCCAGCAGCGTTCATTCAAAGGAAATATTGGAGAATCAAAGACATCAGAAAATCTGTACCCCAGAATTCGGAAAAATTGTTTCCCCACCCTTCTCAACATTAGACAAATACATCAATACAGTGGCAATCCGATGGCCACCCATAATTTGATTAGCCTTGTCATGGAAGTAATCAAAGTGTGGTTCGTACTTCTGACCATGCTCATAGTGCAATATTTGCATCGACTCACCATTTTCTGATGCATTTGAGACACATGGTTAAATTGAAGAAAACAAAAGCAACAACAGAAATTATCAAAGGATGATATTATCTACTAACCTATAGGAAGGAATGTCCATGCAGAAATTCGGGCTTCGACATCAGCAATTACTTCATCCTTAAAGATTTAAATAAAGAGGAAATTCAATAATTAAAAGCACAAATGTCAAAAAGCTTTCTTAGAGTAAAATTTCAGCTCATGAAAACATGGTTTCTTTGTCATAAGAATTGGCAGAGAAATTTTCCCTAATTTTCCCAACCTAGTTAGAGGAGTGGATTATTGTAATCAAAAGATATTTGGAATGTTAAAGAATTTTTTTATAAGAATATATGAAATGTCTTGCCAATTGAAAATGAAAAACAATTAAAAAAGGACTGAAAAAGCACTTAGGTCACTGATGTTAGCTGTGAACAAAATAGCATAGAACAATTCAAGATATATAAATTATTGAACCTTTAACTCATCAGAGACAAGTTCTGCCCAAGTCGGTAGATTTGATGCAGACAAATTATTATTAATTAAAAGTGACAGATATTTGATTTACTATTGTTCTTTGTATGGACTTCTGGAACTACTAGAGTTATGGCTCTGTGTATTTGATAAGTTATTTATAAGTCTACATAAATCCAATCTCACAATTAGGAATCAAAGTAATAGAAGGTCGTCTAAAAGTCACTTGGTCACTGAAGAGTTTATTCAATTCTAGAGTCCTAAAGGGTTGATAAATAGTGATTGTCAATGAATTTATAAGGAAATTCAGAATGGTATTCAAAGAAGCATGTTCAGATATGCACGCAGGTACTTTATTTTCAGTTTAGGCTAAGATTTCTGATTATATAGATTTCTACCAAAACAGTAGACTCCTCCCATGCATGCCCTTCATCCCACATACCTATCCAACAAATTTCCAAATTTATTTTTCCACCCAACTCCAGCTCCCTAAATTAAAACAAATTCCTTCATTGCATTAAATAATCTTACAGGTAAAGGATTTCAAGCACAAATGGTATGCACACTATATGCACTATGTTTGAATCTGTCACCAAAAAGAACAAATTGTGCCACAGATGAATGTAAAGAATATAGCATAGCTGAAACAACTATGACATGAATTATAATCATCTGCGACCAAACAGATATGAAGAACATTCACCACCACATTTTCATAAAGAGGAAACTTTACCGAAGTCAGGTGGATGTGCAAGTGCATGAAGCAAGTTATGAAACATATTATTAACTAGCAAGTCCTTTTCAATGCCAAAAAAAATCCCATGAGATAGAGGTTCAATGTGGCACTTAAGCATAAGGCTTTATCCCATTAGGTTAGTCTTTTTTGGGATGGGACCTCCTCATAGGTTCAGTCATAACATTATAACTATACCATTGAGTCCTATAAGAAGAGTCAATAAAGGTAATGAACACCAAACAGTCAAAAGTGCCAAATCAACAATTAAAATTTTGTTTTTGCAAAAGATCATATTGAAGTCAGAGAAAGAATCAATAAATTGAGGAAAAATGTAATCAAACCATCAAATTAAGGTGAAGATAAATGAGAAATCTACAAAGTGATCCATAGCATGTTTGGTTACAAAGAGAAACAGTTTTGAGATAACAAAAATTTGTTGTGGTTCAATTTCGTAGCAGTAAAAAAAAAGCCACTTATGCGTAACTCTGTTCACAGCAGAGAGCAGAAGATACTACCATTCCAATTCTAACATTGAAATGGAATTTACTCATAATTCTTTGGCGTGTGTGTGTGCCTGTGCGTGAGAGAGAGTGAAGCAGGCCTTGGATCCAAGGATGAGTTGCTTCAGCTTCAATTGGCTGAGGTAGGCCTTGAGATTAATGTAGCCTCTTCCTGGATTCTAGAAGTTTCAGCTAAGAAAATTAAACAATTGGTTGATGGTTCCTTATTCCTATACATTCTTCCCAACCTTGAAAGTAAAGGCCTCTTCTCTGGCAGTTACCCTTGTTCTCTCTAAAAAGTACAAAGCAAAGAACTATCCTGAACTCAAGGAAGCTTTGACAGTTCAGGACAAAAAAATCATCTAAACACTCCTTATTTACCTGTTAACTTCTGATTTGGGACGTCTTCACTTCATTGCTAATTATAAATCAATCCACATTTTGCATATACTTTCATTCAACTTAGACACGTCACTCATCAATCTTAATTTCTTATCCCCAGATCAACTCAAAATCATTGAAACTCCAAACTAATTTCTAGTACATTTCTCACCATCAAACATTGTCAATAAACATGCCACACTCAAGATAACAAGAACTATAGGATCCAATAAAAGCACAGGCCAAAATTTAAAATTTCAAAAAATTGCCAACCACCTTTCTCTCTCTGCTGGATATTAATTCTAAATTACATGAAGAGCCTAAGGTTTAGAAGTAAGCAGAAAATAAATTATTTTTTATTAATTATACCTGTGCCTTGTTAAGAAACATCCCAGAACTCGTTCTGACTTCACTCATTATACTTTTACCAGATTCATTATCCGCCACCATAGACTTCTCCAGCTTATCCTTGGCCTAGTATCACAAACATTCACACATATAATATTATAATTATACACACAATTAATAGCCCAATGTAAGATCTCCCTTAAACCCAATGCTAACATTAATTTTAAACAAAAAATCAATATCGAACCAGATTTATCAGATGATCACATTCTTCCTCAGATAAAAATCCCTTGTACAGAAAAGCCCTGCATACCATAGTTTGCAAAATTAAAAAAAAAAAAAAAAAACAAACGAAGCGACCCTTTTGTCTAAAACATGAAAAAGGTGTGTACCTAGGACTCCACGAGAGCTGAGTGACCCGTGTGGGATCAAACTTCACTGAAGAGACTCCTCTGTTCAATCTAAGCACCGATCCATGCCTGAAGAAGCGACACAAACAAATCAAAAGGTGAGATTTTGAAGGCATTCCCAGATAGAGAGAGAGAGAGAGAAGGGGAAAAGGGGGAGCGGTAATTTTACGTGGCCTTAGCTTCTTGGTCCAAGTCGGGTAATCGAATTGCAGAAACAGAGAGATCAGTGATAAAACAGAGGAAACAGAGGAAGAGGGAAACCAAATGACGAGGAACCATGGTGAAGAAGATTTTGGTGAGGAATCACAAAGAGGGTGTAAGGTTTATGTAATATAACGTAATTGAGTGAAGAATTGAAGAGAGAGAGAGAGAGTGGAAATGTAATTAAAGCGTTTTTCTTGCTCTTAATTTTGTTTGTCGTTTTCAGATAATTCAACGAGACGCCCACTGGATTTGATTTGGCTTTCTACTCTCTCTGTCTGTTTCTAATGTCCACTTGAAATGAAATTAAAGTATGAAACCCCTAATCCCACCTTCTCGAAGCTTCATCTACCTAATTAACACAAAAAATGTGAACTTATATTTGTGGGATTTCACTGTTATAAGGTGAGAAGATGTGGATATCTTGATTTTAAAAAATAAAGTGTATTTATATAAGAATTTAATTTTGATGAAATGTAAATATTTTTCTGTTGTTGAGTTATTAAAATATATTATTAGTATGTTTCTTATATTAATTAGTTAAAAATTAATTTTAAGTAAACTCTTTATTAATCAAGGACTGAAATGTGTACGTATATAACAAATTTTAATATTATTAAAATTTTAATCATTAATTTTTTAAGAATTTGATTAACCTTTAAGACTAATTTTAAAGATGTAAAAATAGTAAAATTTATTTTTAAAAAAATATAAAGTGTAACAAATATACTTTAACAAAATATTATAGTTTTTAATCATTCAAAATTAATCTTAAAACCTAATATAAATTTTTAAAAAATCATAATATTAGTGTAGTAAAATTAAAGTTGGTTTATAATCAATTTTGTTAATATTAAAATTTTAATAATTTAAAAAATAAATTTTACTAAAAAACATAATAAATATTTTTCATTAAAGTTAAATTTTTTAATTATTTAAAATTAGTCCTAAAAACTAACCTTCACATTTTTTTTATAATTAGCAACCATAAATACAATATATCTTTAATACAATTTAATCCTTACTTTAAGAGGCAAATCTTATTTCTAAGTTCAGCCCCACTGGCCTTAATGAGGCATCGACCAGAAGAGAGAAAGGACTTCTCATTCAAATATCGTGTTGTTCTTTTATTGACTTCTCAATTTAGGATATCAAATAATTTAAGCCACCTTTGAATGCTTCACATTAAATTTTGAGGTTAACTAAAACCTTGGCATTTTCTTCAACTCAAATATCCAAAGGAAAACTATTGAAGAACACAAAATGATAACTCAAAATGTTTTTTAAAAAATATGCACATTAAAATGGCTAGAGCAATATTTATTTTGAGCAAAGAATCTAGAAATGTACTTTCGAAATTTGAAATGGTTAACATCAACTTTTCAAGTGTTTTTCAGTTTGCAACTTAGCTTTGAATATAGTAAAATGTAGCATATCATCAATACAAAGAAAGATAGTGAAAGACAGAATTTTTACCAAACCTTTTTATTTAAAAGTTTAAAATTACATTTTTTTAATTTATTTAGTACTTTTTTATTCTATGTTTAGTTTCTACACTATTATTCTATATAAACTTAAAAAAAATAAATTAAACACACTCTTTGTTCCACTTCTATAAGTAAGCACACTCCTGAATAATATACTTTTTTAAACACATTTATATATTTTTGTGATTAACATTTCGATATGTTTAAAAAAGTATATTATTAAGGAGTGTGCTTAGTTATAAAAGTGGAACAAAAAACGTGTTTAATTTTATTTTTTTTAAGTTTATATAGAATAATGGTGTAGAAACTGAAAATAGAATAAAAGAGTACTAAATAAATTAAAGAATGTAATTTTAAACTTTTAAATAAAAAGGCTTGGTATAATCATATCAAACTTTAAGAATATTATTGTATTTTTTTTTATTAAGGGTTTGTTCTTTAAATTTTTTAGATAACATCTCAGGGATTGAAAAACTCTCGTGTTCCAATTAGATCTCTTTAAATGGTTAATCGTTTTTAGGATCAAATTAGTTTTAAAAAATGGTAAAACAAAATTTAAGAATGAGCATGTTATTCAAAACTCAATGAACGTACTTTAGAGTTAATCAAAACAGTGTCCCAATTTAAATAGAGTTTATGATGCAGAAGACAAGGACTTCATAGATGAGAGGATGGCATTAGCATATGGGCTAGATGCTGCCAAGCCCAAGAGGAATAGGCAGAAACCATTTTGAATGCGTGACTACTTGGTGCCTAATATCAAATGCAAGGGCAAGGGCAAGGGCAAGAAAGGGAAATACTAGGAGAATATTGTTACATTGTTATTATTTTCTTTTGTGTTTTCTCAATTCCTCCAAGTTAATTATGCTAATATCTATATATGCGTTGTAAAGAATATTCTGGGTACAAAAAATGATTAAAAAAGATTTTCTCTTCTCTCTCTTTAACTGCTTCCTTTCTCTCTTTTGATTCACAAATTCTCCCTTCTTCCTTCAATTTTTTTCTCCTCTTATCCTCATTCTGGTTTTGATCACACCATTTTTGGTGCTTTCATTGAGAGTATGGCAGGTTCGTCCGTTAATTTTGCTACTATGGAAACGTTGATTTCTACCCTTAAAACACTCGCTACCAAGGTTGAAGCGCTCGAAAAGAAGAATGAGGAGAAGAAACCTGGAGTTGAGTTAATGATTGATAGCTCTGGTCACCCTTTGAAAATGCCTACCAACATCAAGCTGGACGTCCCTAAGTTGATGGTGAAAACCCCTTGGGTTGGATCTTTAAGGTGAACCAGTTCTTTAATTTTCACGGTACCCCAGAGGATCAGAGGCTACGAATCGTGTCGTTCTATATGGAAGGTGAAGCATTAGCATGGTACCAGTGGTTGCATGACAACGAACAATTCACAACGTGGGCTGGGTTCATATGAGCTTTGGAGCAGCGTTTTGCCCCCTCCTATTTTGATGACCCTCAAGGAGCACTGTTTAAGCTGACACAAACCATTACGGTGAGAGAGTACCAATCTCAGTTTGAGACGTTAGCCAATCGAGTGACTAGATTGTCAGTACCGTTCTAGCTCAGTTGCTTCATTTCTAGTCTCAAATTGGAAATTCGGCGGGAGGTGGTGCCATTTCGTCCGACGATGATCTCTAAGGCTATAAGCTTGGCCAAACTTCAAGAGGAAAAGATTAACATCTCCAAAACGCGTTACGGCGCCACGGTGGCGGATGACACTTCATCTTTCAAGGCGATGAACACCACGTCTTCGGGAATTCTTCCAACATCGACGAACCTCAAGCCATTACTTACGACTTCCTCTTCATCAACAAATTTGAATTCTAAAGCGGTGACTCAAACCATTAGATGATGCCAACAGATTTACAAGTGCGGAGAGAGAAAGACTTGTGTTATTATTGCGATGAACGTTATGTGCGTAGGCACCTATGTAAATGTCAATTCAATTTGTTATTGGCAACACTAGAAGGTTTGGTGGCAGAGGATGAACTCACAGCCCTGTTGGAACACATGGGTCAACTTGGTAGGTCAGATCTAGATCCAGAACCGGAAGCAGAACCTCTGAATGCACAGATTAGTATCCACACCATGACATGATATACCATCCCGCAAACTTTGTGAATCTAAAGGGTTATTGGTAGATCCCAAGTGAGTATCCTAGTGGATAGTGGGAGTACCCACAATTTCATTCAGGAGCTAGTGGCACATCTTTTGGGCTTGGAGTTTCATATGGCCCAACCATTTTTTGTGATTGTCGATAATGGCGAAGCAATTCTGTGTGAGGCTTTTTGTCCACAAGTGGGCCTAAAGATTGACAACCATCAGTTTTTGGTGGACTTATTTGCTTTACCATTAAGTGGGGCGAATTTGGTTCTGGGTATACAATGGCTCAAATCTCTTGGGCCTGTTCTTACGGATTATGATACTCTTACCATGAAGTTTGTGAAGGATGGTTGAGTGGTGTAATTAGTGGAACAACCCAAGCCCAAACCCATAGAGGCTACTGCAGCTCAGTTCCACAGAATGGCTTCCTCAGAGGCAATTGCTGAGATTTTCCATCTTCAAATCATGTCTTCGCCTATTTCAGAATCCTCGAAGCCGCCATGTCCAGTTGACATGGAGAAGCAATTGGATCATTATGCTAGTCTCTTCCTTCAATCGACAATACTCCCTCCGCTTCGCGACACGAATCATCAAATCCCCATCTTGCACGCGCTAATACAGTTAACGTGCGCTCGTATCGCTGCCCATATTTTTAGAAGCTAAAAATGGAGAGACTCATTCGTGAAATTCTAGAAGCAGGGTTGATTCGTTGAAGTTGCAGTGCCTATTTTTCACCGGTGTTGCTAGTTTGCAAGAAGGATGGTAGTTGGCAGTTTTGCGTCGACTACCGAGCCCTGAATGCAATCACCAACAAAGATAGATTCTTAATTCCTTCTATTGTCAAGTTACTTGACGAACTCCATGGCACGAATTGGTTCAGCAAACTGGATTTACGCTCTGGGTACCACCAGATACGCATGAACGTAGGTGATGTCCAAAAGACGGCTTTTCGTATGCACGTTGGCTATTACGAGTTCCTTGTCATGTCGTTCAGACTCTGTAATGCGTTGACTACCTTCCAAGCCACCATGAACAAATTGCTCCAGCCTTACTTCCACAGGTTTGTCATTGTTTTCTTTGATGACATACTTGTCTACAGTAAGACTTTGGAAGAATATGTTTCTCACTTACAGATTGTGTTTGATTGTTTGTTGACAAATAAATTCTTCTTGAAATGCCCTAAATGTGTTTTTGCCCAAGAGACGATTGAGTATTTGGGCCATATTGTTTCGAGGAGTGGAGTGGAGGCAGATCCAGAGAAGGTTAAGGCCATGGTTGAGTGGCTTGTGCCGAGGAATATCAAGCAACTTCGTGGCTTCCTTGGTTTAATCATCTTCTATCGAAAATTTATTCGTGGTTATGCCACAATTGCTCATCCTCTTACTGAGCTACTGAAGAAAGATGCCTTCCAATGGGGTGAGAGCGCTCAAGAAGCTTTTAACAATCTAAAGCAAACCATGGTGTCAGCTCCAGTACTTAAATTACTAAATTTTCAAGAGGAGTTTGTGATTGAGACAGATGCTTCCGGATTAGAAATGAGAGTTGTACTTCAACAAGGCAGACA